GGCACAACACAGCAAAAGCAGCAAGAGCAAAAAAGGGGAGGGTGGAAGCAAGCCTGTTTTCCCCCATTATGTTGTGTATCAATTGGCTATCTGCTCACCGTCTCTGTGCCCTTCTCTTCCACAAGCTGGGGACATTCACAAAGGGTGAACCCTGGCCCCCTGCTGAATCACTGAGTTGAACTTTTAAACTTTTCAAGTTGAGGCAATGGACAACATCCTTCGGCAGGAAGGGCGTGTCTTTTTTACCCCAAGATGCAGAACTGCTGAGTTACTTAGTTAAGTGGTTAGACTTCTCAAGTTGACACAATGTATCAACCATAACAATCCACCCCTTGTCAACTTGGCAACCAGACACATTTTTTAAACCAATTTTCAGATACAAAGACATTATTTTTATCATTTTACAACTTGAACATTATAATACAGCTTTAACAATCCTTAAGAACCAGTATTAAGTTTATCAATGTTATATTACATTTTGACTCCCATGCACATCGTTTTATGCAAAAGAGATTTAGTCTATCTATTTTCAAGAGTTGCCAAAGTCCTAACAGTTTCAACATTGCTGAAGGGGCTGGGGATTTAGCTCAGTGGCAAACTCAAAGCGCCTGCCTGGCAAGCGCAAGGTCGTGAGTTCGGTTCCCGGTACCGGAGAAAAACAAAAAAACAAAAAAACAAAAAACAAAAAACCAAACAAACAAACAAAAAAAACATTGCTGAAAAGTCTAAGTATCAATTCTCCTCCTAGAGATAAGGCAAACTCTTAGTTATAAGCCCCTGTATAAATGAAAACTTAAGCACTTTCAACATTTAATGGCACAAAATAAACATCATTCCAAAAGGTAAAAACAGGAGGATACAAAGCATTGGGATCAAAGCAAGTCTGAAATCCATTGTGAACTCTGTGTGGCTCCACCTCTATGGCACTTTTAGTGGATGTAGCTCTCATGGCTTTTTTCTTGGGCTTGCTTTGCTCCCTCCTTGTAGCTTTTCTCAGACAATCCACATTTTTGGCCTTTTTTAACTTTTGGGATCTCTATTGCACCTTTTGCTTTACACTCATAACTTCACGTACTGCCAGCTCAAGGGTACACTGCCTGACCTCCCAGCCCTTTTTAAATCTAGGTGGAAGACTTTTTAAGTTAACACAATACATCAGCCATAACATTTGGCTTGGTTGGCAGAACATACTAGATACACACAAGCTGTAAGCTGTGCCTAGGGTTACTAATGTCCCATCTCAAAATAGAATTCACTTAGCCAGAAAGCAATTCTCTAATTCGTGATGTACAAAATGAATGTTCTTATTCCTGTAAGCTAAGCCATTGCGTGATTTCTGTTAAAACCTTCTGGGATTTATAATTAAGTTTTATTTTTCTTGTTTCTTTTCTCTTTTTTGAACCGAGCATGGGTCACATGTTATACAACTTGTCCTTCTGCTTTTCTTCCTTCCCCTGCTCTGTCTCTTTGTCCTACCATATGGGTCCTGAAAGCAGGTGATCTGAGAAGTAGTAGTTGTGGCACACTTTTTAACATTGTTTGGATTCTTTCTGATGAAAAAGAAAAATGGTGCAATGGTAAGTATTTGAGAGATTTCTGGTCATTTTATCTATATACAAATTCTGTCTTCACTTAAAATCATCCAGTACATCAAAAGCTTCTAATAAACTTGTCAAGGGAGTCAGATGAATGCAGAATAATTTACCCCCTTGCATTCATAAAACATCCTCTGCACTTCTGATTTCTGCCTGGTCCTTTGGAGCCTAGAGAAACCGAACGCTGGGGAAGAACCAGGAAACTGAGTCTGAGTTCTCCACCAAAGAGCAAGGGCAGAGATCACAGCTTCACCCTAACACTTCCCCCTGACTGCGGTAATAAATTCATTCGAGTGCACTGTAGATTCAAAATAGCCAGAAGACAGGATTCTGAATATTCCCAACACAAAGAAATGATCAATGCTTCAGATCATCGATTTTCTAATTACCCTGATTTGATCATTAGATATTGTAGATATGTATCAAAAGAACACACGTAATGATGCATAATTATACGTAAACATGTTTAATTATTATGAAGCAATTAGAAGTAATTTCAAAAACAGTAAGTTTAAAAATGAATTTTATCTATAATAAAAACATTAAACCAAAATAAATGTAAACATAGCATTTATTTGACAGCATTGAATGTTTTAAGAATGATATTCCTTTAAATCCAGTCACTTCATTTCTGGAAAACTAATTCCAAAGAAATGATGATAAATGCTGAAGAAAAATCAATGGAAAAAAGTATTTGAGAGGACAAATGTGTGCTTGAGAAGTGAGCAGAATTGAACACTTCATGTTGTAGACAGAATTCTGCTCCATGGCCTCATGGTAAGATATGCTCAGAAATTTAAATATAACGTGGAAATTGCTTTATTTTATTTTAAAGAGAGTAGTAAAAGAAAAAAAAAGAATAATAGCAGCATACCAACATCACAAGCATAAACAGCAAGAGCATTAAAAGTGATACAGGGTTTCAAAACAAAATGATAGGAATTAACAGTGGTTGTTAGATTACATATTGTTATCTTCAAATACATTGCTGAGACTACCAGATGTAAGAATGGAAGATTGTTCAAACCATTAAAGAGAATTAAAGAAAAAATTATTAGATAAAACATAAGAGACGATACAGAGTTTCACAAGACAAGATGGTAGGAATTCACCATGGGAGTTCCATTGTATATTGTTGTCTTCAAATCAGTTGCTCAGGGAAATTGCTTTACATAAAAAATCAGTTAAAAAGCTAGGGGAAATATCTTTCTACAGACAAACTGCAAAGTGTGCCAATGTGAAGAAACATCTGCACTTGGTAAAAAGCTGGACATGTAAGAGTTAACATCATTAACAGCACTGTACCAGCAGTTCTTCCTATTTCTAACTTTCCCACTATTTCCATTTTTATTTAATGACTATGCATTACTTTCATCATAAGATGTTTAGAAATCCACATTTCTTCAAAAGTAGGCAAAAAACTAGAATGATTAATTTATACAAAAGTAACAGTTATTCATATTTATCTGTTGATTTATCATTTGAATGCTAAAAATAGGGTTAAATATCTTTTGATCAACACATTTTATCTCACGTATATGTCAAACAGAATTATCTGAATAAATAAATAGAAAAAGAATGAGTTCCATTAATTTGTTTTACTAAAACCCTATGGTACCTCAAAATGCGCTGATATCTTTTCCTACTTTCTCCTACAAAAAAAAAAATACACAAAAAAATTTCAGAATACACAATTGCATGAGGTTAATATTTTTTAAAATTTAAGTGAGTATTTCCAAATAAAGTTGGAAGTCTTAACAGAAGTAGGATTTTAAACGTGGGAAATATTCAAGGTCATATAAAATGTGTAAAGATCTCTTAAGACAATACAAAAATCTCACCAGAGCTAGATACCAACCGTTTTTAAATGCCATTTGCCCATTTGACAAGCAGACACAGTGGTGCCTCGGTTCATTGACTTAATTCTTTCCACGATTCTGATCACAGCATAGTATATTGCAGTTTGGTTGCAACCAGAATCGTGAAACAAATTCTGGGACCAGAATCGTGGAAAGAATTAAGTTCGTGAACGGAGGCACCACTGTACATAGTCTTCCAGGTTGACCATCAGGCAGTGTGGTCCAAAGCAAGTTGGCAGGCAGATGACCTGAACCTAAGACCCCTGGGCCCATTTCTGAGCCACGTGCAGCTTTGACGCTTGGATTTGTGTTTTGTTCCCAGGCCTGAAGCCCTGGATCTGAATGCCTTCTTTCTAATGCAGTTGCCCCAGGACCCTGGCTAGGGTTCTGGCTTTCCTTTGCCAGACCGGCTAGGTGCAGAGCTATCTAATTATCTGTTAATGAGTGAAAGAACGCTTCTGTCTCCTGAGCCCTCCACTGCAGTTCCTGATGGATTTCTTTTCCACCTTGCTGTCTGCCACACAGCCCAGTCACCCATTTCTTTCCCTGGTGTGTACTAGGCAGAGTGTTCACCAGAAAGGCCCTTTCTGCTTCAGTCTTGCACCTTCTTGTTCAGCTGGTACAAAGGTGCAATCAACCTCATCCAAACAAACCACTGTTTGTGTTAACTAGCAAATAGAGGGTCATAATGTGGAATTATAGGACTCAGGAATCAGTTCTTTGCCTGTAAACCCTAGTGCGTGGCTAATTAGGGAAAGCCCCAGAGGCCGTGGCTGGGGCAGAAGTGTAGAGTTGCTGGCCTTTGTCTAGGGATTAGCACGGACAGACGTTAACACGTTTTACACTGGCACTCTATCTTCAGAATCTCAAACCTGTATCAAATTCTTTTTTCCTTGTCAGGAAACTCTGGAAATCCCCTTAAATTCTCTTAGACTCAGTTTCCTAAAGTCATGATGCTTATTAATGTGACCACACTTAATAAATGTAAAACTGCAATGAAATGTGAATCTGATTATTATTATAATGCTGGATTATTTAGGGTTGATACTGTCATTATTTCTGAAGCCTATTTTCAAATGCTATCAAATATTATACACAGATGGAGATAAAGCAATTATGGCAAAATGTGGCAGTTGGTGAACATGAATCAAAAGTGTAAGGTATTTGTGGTACTTGAAGTTTGGCAAACTGCAGACCACACATCTTTCACAATATATCAACATTTCTGTTTACTTGACTTCTTGCAAACATTTTTTTAAGTTAAGGAAAAAAGATTTTAAAAAATACAATGTTACAGCCGTGCCTCTCCTCCCTAAAGAATTTGTGAACACCAGCTATAGACTAGTGTGCTTTGTGAACTGTAGATCCCTGATTGGGCATAGGAGTCACAGAGAGGGCTCTGGGTAGCACTAAATCATCCCTAGATGACCTGGCCAAGCCTCACCTTTGGTTGCCAGGACTTCAGCCAATCAGCGCTGCTGCAGCCCCTCCACATTACATATGCAGAATCGGCCTCCTGGCTCCTTCCTGTGCCCGCCTAGTGCCAGCTGCAGACACCACACGCAGCCCTGCTGTTGAGAAGGGGAGGCCAAGTCTAAAACTCCAGAAACCTGATTCAGAACAGACCCTCCCTCGCCTGCTGGCTTCCTAGTTTCCCTGCAGCCCCCAGGGCTACTGGCAAGAAGTCCCCTCCCATGAAGCCCTCAAAGGCATCCCAGCGCTACAGAAGCATCCGGAGAAATGCCAGCCAGCGCTACCTCTACCAGGAGTCCCTGTTGCTCAGGTAAGTGGATTCCCTCCATCAGCAGGGCAGAGGAGACAGCCATATGAGCATGGGTCCCCAAGCCAGGGACAATGTCCTCATCCTGCTCAGCTCCTTCAACTCAGAAGCTTACTACCGCAGGGTCCTGTACACCTGTGGTGACGACCTCAGCAGTGCCCATGGAAAGGATGGCAGCAGCTGTTCACTCTGGGCCACAGGATGGGACACCAGAACCCCGCCTCCCCTTTGGGCTGTATGCCAGCGAGCTCCACACAAGAGCTTTCTCTCTTTCTGTCTGTTTACCAAACTGCAGACCACACATCTTTCACAATAAATACACTGTCATTTAGAAAAGGCTCAGAGCAGTTGGAAATGAGTGAGAATCCTATTTGAGTTTGTTAAATGATTGTAATGAGCATTTCGATGAGTAATAAAACCTCTACTTTGGAGAAACTGGAAAAAGTAAGAAAAAAACAATCTGGATTAGAGAATAACACAGGAAATACTTTCTCTTCTAATAGTCACAGATGAATATTCATCTGTCCTAAAAAAGTTGCATTAGGATTAGCATATTAATTATTACTGGAAATAAATGTTGCCACATGTTAAAACATCATTCTTCTAGAGAGCAACTATTTTCCTGATGCTTTGCCCATATCCACTTGCTGAGCTAATTTCTTGTTCATAGAGACTGCCACCTCCCTCTGCCTTTGTTAGCTCGAGTTTAAAATGAATCAAAGAGGTCAGGCAGAAAGGCATCTCTAGGTAACAGAAGTTTGGCTTTTATTTACTTTACCTTCAGAGCTGGGGAACAAGTAGGAGTTCTGCTTCTAAAATTATCCAAGTATTTCAATAAGCCTGTAAAGAAAATTGTTTGCCTACCAAGATTGCTGTAGTCCAGGAACCAAATCCTTCCAAGTGACTCCTTGTCTGATTTGGTGTCTTCTAAAAATATCTTCCAGCCTGAGAAACCTTCCTTCTTCCCTGATCATCAAAGTAATAGACTCAAATAAATACATTCCAGTAGGCTGCTAAAGCTGCTGGTTCTCTCCCTACCTCCACATACCCTACACACACGCACGCATACATGCACTTGTCATACAGATGACCCTGTCAAACTTTCCCCAGGAAAGATGATCTTTTCTGGAAGCAATTCCACTAATCAGATTTCCTCCTTAATGCCCTGATCCATTTAGTAACTTGGATGACAGCTTTAATACTGATGAAACAGGGGACAGCAGTGACCCGGAACAAATCTTCCAGAACATACAGTTCCAGAAAGATCTCATGGCAAATATTCGCTGCAGACCATGGACCATGGGACAGAAGCTGAGGGCGCTGAGGTGAGGCCTCTCTCTCAGGGACTGACTGTGGTAAAGATGCCTTCTGACACAGGGTTGTGCCCTGCCCCATGGAAACAAAGATCAAAGATCTGGTCCTTGACTACAGATGTCAGTAAGATGGCAGAGGGTATGTAAGTGTGAGTGTGTGTGTTTCGGTGTGCAGTATCTGTGTGCATGTTGAATGTGTGCGTTGATGAAATTTTCTGGTCTTCTGCCTGCTTCCCAAACACTAGATTTTAACACTCTCTCCAAACTCACAGGAGACAAGAGGCCAAGCCTCAGGGGAAAGAGGTATTTTAGTCCCACTTGCTATTGCCTCCTTGGGGGAAAAAGTCTAAACAAGCCCAAGTTATGGTGATACTTAGAGTCCTACTAGAGACTCTGGTTGTACAATAATTAAGTCCAGAGAAATTCAATACAGTTGTTTGAATTTGAATATCATCTCTGCCAGTCTCTAGCCATTTGGTATTTTTCCTTTCAATGCTAGGGAAGGATAGACCCCAGGGACTTTGCATTGAGCTACATCCCCAGCCCTTTTTATTTTTCTTTTGCAACAGTATCTCATTAAATTGCATAAGGGAGGCAATTCACAATACCTCCTGCCTAAGCCTCCAGAGTGCTGTGATTACAGGAATGTGCCACCGAGCCTGACTCATTTTCTTAATTTCTCTAAATACCGCTAACTTTCTCTTCCAAGGTGAGGTGATAGTGAGGAGCAGCCTTTATCTCTCACAGCAGCATTTCCAACAGTGACGATTGCTGACTCTCGGGTGCTGTTAGAAACTCAAATCCCCGTGCTGCCCTCTGACCTCCTGAGCCGCACTATGGGACAGGGCCGGCATTTCTTTTCTTATGGCAGTTCTGGAGCTCCAACCCAGGGCCTCCCACATGATAATCACATATTCAGCCTGGGGCTGCACCCCAGCTCCCCAGCATTTTTAAACCTGCATTCAAGCTGATTCTCCTGAGTTCTAGAATATGAGGCCACACACTGGTTGCAGTCTATGAGGATGTCAAACGCGCTCAGCCTGCACATGCTCAGTGCTATCCCTGGTGTGTCTCAGTCACTCAGTAAGGGTGACTGGCCAATGATGCTGACAGTGATACTGACAGTCACAGCACAGGTGGCAGCCAGCTGGCAGCCCTGACTGGTCCCCTGGTGCTCTTGTGACCTGGCGGTGCACTTTTGGCACCTATGTGGACAGGACCATGGTCTTGTCCTGCTCTGTAGTGCCATTTTCAAGACCCTAGCCACATAGTCTTTTCTGTCTGGACCTGCTGCCTACTGGTCATGCGCTTCTCTCCACCACATTGCTCCTCTCGCAAATGTCCACGCGGGCACCACTCCTCCAGGTGCCACCTGCCCCTCCAGTGGCTGCAACACAGAGTTAAACTGGCCACCGTGTTTGCACCCTCAGGGGGCTCCGTTCATTCCCCTTTATCTGCCTTCGTCCTGATATCAGCTGTCATCTCCAATCTGTAAGTGAGAGTAGACGAAAAGAAATAAAAGAGAGAAAGAAAAACTTGCAGAAAGCACAGCTTTATTGAGATAAAGACCCGAGAGGGGCCGCTGCCTCTGAAGTGCCAGAGCAGCAGCTCTCCTACAAAGAAGGGTTCGCACGGGGAGCTGGAGGAGCAGAGAGGCTGAGGAAGCCGGAAACACTATTCTGGGATCAGGTCATCTATCTTAGTCTGAGCTCGCTGGCCCCTCTCCTGTTTGCACAAAATTCATTGTTTATCTGGAGCTGAGGGCCTCCTGGTCTGGAATGGGCTGTTCTGAAGCATGAATTAGGCCAGGCAGGTTCATTAGAGGGGGTGGTACTGTTACAAGGCCAGGAGAGTGTAGGGAAAGGCCAGAACACAAGGGAAGATGTCCTTGGGACTTTTCCATTCACTACGTCCACATTTTAGGAGGGATGGGGCACACCCGGGGGTGTGAAGAGACCGGTCCAAGAAGCGCATGGGTTTTTAGTGCTAGAATGAAGCCTCTGACATCTGCTTTCTAACCCCATGTCCAGAGTCTCTTGTACCAAAACGCAGGAGCACCAACAGAGGAATCATTGCAGCAGTTAACTGACAGGATAAAAACCTACAAGATAAAAAAAAAAAAAAAAAGAAAAAAAGAGGACACATTCTGTCAGAGATTTTAAAATTCATTCAGGAATGATGATGACTGAACGTTGTTGGAATAATAAGAGTTTAAGCCTTTTTCACCTTGAGGCCAGTGCACAGCAAATGATCACCTTTCAGTCTAGGCCCCTTGGAAAGGAAAAATGAGCCAGGCCTCCCACCATGCTGCTGGGCTGCGCCACTTGGCCAGAGCTCCAGCTGGGTGACAGCGGCCGTGCCCCTGGCTATGGTACTGCTCTCCAAGGGCAGCTTGCCCTCCTAGCACCTCCATCCGTCAGCCCCTGTGACACACACCTCTTCTCTGTCACCTTGAAAACTGCTGGAGCAGCACCACTCTGATTGGACCCACTGAGGTTTATCGTGGGTTCACTGGGGAAGAGCTGGGGACACAGAGCCAAGTCCAGGAGCTTTGCCTGACACAGGTCCAAGCAGCTGTCTGGGAAGAGATACACACACCTGTTTCTCCTGCAGGGAAGTGAATGGTCAGAGAAGCTAGCACACTGCTGTGACTATACCCGGGTTAGGCCCACACACCCTGCTTCCCCGCCACCATGGCATGGCCAGGCCCGTGCTGTCCTGTTCATTTTACCTTTAGATCTCTTTCATCCTACCCAGCAGGAGCTCCTCCAGAGCAGCGACTCTGTGCCATGCATTTCTCTGTTCTACGATGTCTAACTCAAAATAGGCATGCAGAAATGTCTGCAGGAAGGAATCACAGACACATGAAACGTACGGTCACTTGACTTTGCTAGGCTTTGTTTTTCAGATGCCGTAGCAGGCACATCTGTTAAAGATGGCTCCCGTGTGGTGGTCATGCTGTAGGGCAGGACGCCAGCCCTATCTCTGTTTCTTGTTTGACCACCATGAAGCCAGCGTACTGCATCAGGAGGGCTATGACCATAAGGGTTTTTGCAGAGAGTGGGTAGAGAGCTCCAATCCCCAGTGTTCTGTTGGGTCCTGCTTTGAAAAGATCAGCTTGCTGTGAAAAAAGAGAGTTGGTTTGTCCTTTGTGTCTGGAGGAGGAATTCATTAGCCGCAATGTTACAAAGAGGCTGCTTGGGACACAGGAACACCCTGAGGCGAGAATTTGCTGAACTGGCAATTGGCTGATGTGGAAGAGCTAAGTTCTTTAACACAGAACCCAAACAAGCAAAGGGTCAGGAGGACCGCTGCGCTGGGGTGGTGCACAATGAGGTTACTCTGGGGAAATGCTCATCTCCAAGAGTCTCTGGCTCCAGTCTGCCCCGTGGCATCGGCCGTCAGTCCAACCCTGTTGCTCATGTCGTTTTGGATTTAACCATCATTCCCAATGGGTCCTGTCCATTTCTCAGGGTTGAACACTTAGATAATAATACCAGGTTAATGCAACAAAATGGTGTGTGGGTGGTTGGTTTGCCTGAATCAGGGTGTTCCTGGCTCAATAAACACAACTTTCCTGCTCCCATTAACCGGATGCCACCCTTTCCTTGAAGCAGGCTCTCTGAGGCTAGTCTGATTTTCACTTCTGAGGAATTGACAGAAATAGGAGAGTTGTTAGGTAGAGGAGCTGAGACAAGATTTCCAAAGCTAGTGATTCCCAGTGAACCTCCAGAATTTTAAGAAATTTAGTTGTAATTACTGTTGACATGCATTTACCACTTTGGAGTAGTTCATCTATGTGCCTATGAAATAATTTTTTGCATGTGGAACTGGAATCAAACCGGGAGGTACTCTACCACCGAGCTACATCTCTAGTACTTTTTATTTTTTACTTTGAGACAGAGTCTCTCTAAGTTGCCCAGGCTGGGCTCCAACTTATGATGCTCCTGCCCCAGCCTCCCAAAGTGCTGGGATTACAGGTACACTCAGCTAACGAAAAAATTTCTAACAATATTCAGGAAATGAAACCTAGTGATGCTCTCCCTCCCACATCATCCCTTCTAGCTTTGTTTAGTGACTTACCTCTTGCACTTCCACGTAGTCTGCAAAAATTTTAAGTGTGATAAGACTGTGCTCACAGCTATGTCTCTCTTTTCTCAGACGAGCAAAGGAGATTGTGCTGAAGTTTGAAGGGAGGCTGACCAGGACCCGAGGCTACCAAGCAGCAGGTGCAGAGGTAAAGAACCACCTAGGGCACTCCCGCGCCCCCGCCCCCTGCTTCCTGGGGCTGCACTTGCCTGGGTCCGTAGTTTGTGAGCTCAGCTATCAGCAGCTCAGAGCAGGGCTCTGGGCTAGGAAGCTTCAGTTTCCAAAACTTGGATTTCAGTCCCGGCTGCCATGCCTTGCCAGTCATGTGACCTTGGCTCAGCCTTCTGCCTCAGGAGAGGGATGCCCAGACTTAGCCCCGACAAATGCAGAGCTCTTTGCTGTCGCCTCATAGTGGGGCAAGGCTGTGCCCCTCACAGCGAAAGGATTGCAGGCTCCCTCCAGCTCTGCTGCTGTAATGCAGTGCTGAAGTTTCGACTGGTTTTTCTTAAGCAGTCACTTAAAGCTAAACTCTAACACACCTTGAAATGGTCTGTCTATAAAGACATTTCATATAACTTTGAAAAAGAAGGGTAAAATTGCTAGGGAACCTAACAAACAGACAACTTACTACCAGCCACGGAGAATCTGTGCAGTGGTTTAATGAGAGTGGCTGTATTTGAGTTGACTCTCAAATCCTAAGCAGAAAATATCACACCAACTTCTGACGAAATTCAGACTCTCATTTGCAAGCAGCCGTCTGGCCTGAGCAGACACATCCACAATGATATTACTGTACGGTTCTGCACTGAGGCAGAAGGCTGTCTGACAAGTCAGAGTGTGGTTAATGCATTTGCAGCTCTTTGTGCAATGACATTGTTTCCAACACAAACCACGATTGTGTATTAAAACACACAACCTGCCAACTCTTTGGGACAGCAAAGCCAGTGTCAGGGAACATTTTGCGTTATTCTGAAAAAAAAAAAAAAACGGGTGGGGGGGACTGTTAATTTCATCTTTAGCCCACAAGACAAATTTCCAGCCTTATTAACCCTAGAAGCTTCAGCCAAGAGAGAAGCCAGAAGCCGTCTGTGCTGCAGGTCACCAGACACACAGGGGCAGGGCTCATCCTCAGGTGGGCGCTAGACTCTTTGTCCTGAGGCAGGGATGCAGGTGTCATCACCTGAGAGCTTGTTAGCCAGGATCCACTTTCCCAGCTACCCTAGGTTTATAGCAAGGTCAAGGGTATGGCTTTAGACACCATCTTCAGTGATTTCCTGTATTCTTAGTCCCTGATTCGGGATCAGTAGGAGAAATGTATGCTGGGACCCCAGACATTATGCACCTCACCCACACCCAGCAGCTCAGGCCCCAGCAGAGGTGTGTGATCACCTGGCCAGAAGTACAGAGAAGCTGGGGTCCACTTGGATTCTAGAGCCAATGGCAGCCATGAATACCACAGTCAGAGGTAGCCAGGGTACATCTAGAAGCCTCCTGCCCACCCCAAGCCCTAGTGCTACCAGCCTTTCTGTCCTCCTGATGGACGGTTCCTAACTACACTTTTATCCTAGCTGTGGCGGAAGTTTGCTCGTCTGGCCTGTAATTTTGTGGTTATCTTCATCCCCTGGGAAATGAGGATAAAGAAAATCGAGAGTAAGTACTTTCATGTGGCAAAAGCAGGACTAGTGGCCAGTTCACAGTCTGAGCTTGGTCTGGGGTGTCCCGGTCCTCATATGCACAGCCAGGGGTGGTGCAGCCTCACATGAGATCCAGAGATGGGAGACCCCAATCTTTCCCTACCAGGGCAGGAACTGTCCCCGTCAGTCTTTCTGCATTCCTAGGTAGCAGTGCCATCCTCCGCATCTTGTTCATTCAGTCAGACACACAAATTCCAAAAGATGAAGTAAAAAACTGACAGCACATAACATGGCAATGCGAGGAGTTTGCAAAATACAAATATAAAAGCCCATATTTTCAGGGAAATGATTGTAAGCATTTAGAAAATGTGAAAAAATAAATCGCATCCACAATTACACAAATGCAGACACGCACACACACACACACACACACACACACACACATACATATATATATTTACTAGGAATAAATTTAACAAAAATTCTGAGATGAAGAAAACTATAAAACTGGATTCCAGAATATAAAAGTCTTCTGAAGAGATGTGAGATTTGGAAGATGCTGACTTCTCAAAATGTATTTGCAAGTTACAGGCAATTCATTAAAAGTCTCTCTGAGTTGTTTTGAGTAGCTGTCAAAATGGTCATAAAATTTTAATGGAAGAAAATAGGCAGAAGAGTAATTTAAAAACCACATAAAGAAGCCAGGGATGGTGACGCACACCTGTAATCCCAGCACTCGGGAAGCTGAGGTATGAAGATCATCAAGTTCGAGACCAGCCTGGGCTACAAAGTGAGCTCAAGGCCAGCCTGAACTGCATAGTGAGACCTTGTCTCAAAAAAGACAAAAAAAAAAAAAAAAAAAAAAGGAGGAAAAATGCAGATGAAATTGTATGACTGAGATGTTAAAAACACGTTATAAGAAGCTAAGTAATCAAAACAGCATAGCATAACTCAGGAATTGGAAATCAAAAGATTAAATAAAAACCTCAGGTCAAGTAACAATATTCATGGACTTTTAGCATATGATAATTATAGGAATCTGGCTACATTAGTCCATAAATATTGCTGGAACAACAGAAGCAACTGTTTCAAAGAGAAGATTTAGTTCTCTCATTTTAAAATATCATGAAATATTTAAATATGCAAGTGGAAACCATGAAAGAATTAAAAGAAAATATCAGTGATTTGATCTCAAAAGAGAACCAGCCTAATTATAAAAGTTCAGTAAGAAATTATTATTGTACTTTAAGGTACATAGATAAAAAATTGTGCATACAAAAAAAAGTAAATCTGAAAGTTATACAACCATTAGGAAAACCTTACATATTTAAATGAAATTAAGCACTTCCTTACTGTTTAATTTAGAGCAAGTGTAGGTATATAAAAAACTGGGAAAGAGCCCCCATGTGGCCCTCACCCACTTTGCTAAGCTCTAACAAACTGGTTTTATCTTGAAATTAAGACAAAAGATCTTCAAAAGAGAATCATTGGCAGGAAAGAACAACTGGGATGAAGGAAAGGAGAAAAGAAACAAAGAAGGTGAAAAAACATAGGGAGTTACACAAGATAGCTAAGATAATTATACTGCTAGTTTCTATTGGCTTATTGAAAGGAACAGTTAATGCTTAATATTTTTGACCAATTTTGCATGCTTATAATTGGTAATGTTAACAACTACTTTGAAGGCAACAATATGCAATAGAACAACCATTGTTGAATTCATATCATCTTGTTTTTTGAAATTCTGTACCATTTCTAATGTTTTTAATTATTGTTTACTCTTCAAAATAAAAAAAAATCATTGGAATTTTCAAAATGATGTGTAATGAAAAAGAAATATATCAGATTCTCAAAAGATGCTGTTTTTTAACATTCCTGAAATATAATAAATTTGACAGCGTTTTAGATAAATATGTCATTAAGGAAATGACTTTCAAATGGTATTTTTGGTATAGGAAGAACTTTTCTACATACAGAAGTAGTAAATATTCATAGCATCTTGGTCCATCTAAATTACCATTTTGGGGGAACATAGTCATCATGAATTACATTTTTCCTTTGGCCCTGCCAATATCCGGACAATTACGGTGTTGCTTTCTGGAGTATTATTGCCCTGTGAGAATTGAATGTAAAGTATTCTCATTATTTTGTCTTTCTTTAGGTCATTTTGGGTCAGGTGTGGCCTCCTATTTCATATTCCTGAGATGGTTATTTGGGATTAACATTGTGCTCACAATTATGACAGGTGCTTTTATTGTCATTCCAGAGGTAAGAACTATTTCAAGAGACGTTAGAGTACTGTAGACACCTGCTCTTGCTACCCTTGCGGGAAGGATGATGCATGTGTGAGGACCCCTCTCTGTGCAGGGCTGTACAGTATTTCAGGCTTATGTGCTGGTCAGTCTCTGTCACCTGCTGAGGTCTGCAGTGGTGCAAAGGCAGCCATAGAGTGTGCATAAGCCGGTGTATGTTGACTGCATTCCAAAGTTTTATTTATGGAAACTGAAATACACATTTCATATAATTTTTTCTTTGTCCCAGAACACCGGTTTTCTTTTCAATTTTTTCCTTCAGCCATCTAAAAATACAAAAGCTCTTCTTCAATCTCAGGCTGTATGAATCTCAGGATTTAGCCTCCGTGCCAGTTTGCCAACCACAGATTAAAATAAAATCCCTTACCCAGCTAAACTTCATCCTCACAAGATAGTGGGACCATCATTTCTGGGACCATCACAGAAACCCAGGGACCCCAAAAGTCCCCTGGCAGAAGCCACAGTGGTTCAGAAAGTTAAGGCCCAGGGGAATCTCATGCCCACACAGAGCTCTCCATCCATAGAACCAAGCAGAAATCCACCCCAAGATGTAGGGGGTGGCATCTTTGGAGCCACACGGTCCTTCACAAGGGGGATCACTGATACCCCTTTCTCTCCAGCTGATCGCTGGCCAGCCCTTCGGAAGCACAGCCAGGAAGACCATCCCACCGGAGCAGGCTGCATCAGCCCACGACCTGGACACCGTCTGGTCCCTTGGGGTGAGGCTGGCACACACGGGAGGGGAGGGGGCCTGGTGTCCTCTCTTGAAAGTGACGGGCATGGTGTCCCCACAGGGCTACCTCCAATACTCTGTCCTCTTCTACGGCTACTACGGCAGGGAGAGGAGGATTGGACGAGCTGGCTACCGTCTGCCCCTGGCCTACTTCCTGGTGGGGATGGCCGTGTTCGCTTACAGCTTTGTCATTCTTTTAAAAAAGTACGACTGCTCAGTTTCTCAAGACCTGTGCTCACAATGATTTGTGACCTGATGCTATCTCATCAGTGACCCTGTAGGTTGAGGGTGTCACTGCACCCATTTTACAGGCCAGAGGGCCCTTGTTCATGTAAGCAGCACATCCCCGTGCTCACTGCCAAGGGCCAGGTGCTGGGTTGGATATGCAGAGACACGAGTGCCACACACTTGCCAGTTTACCTAACCTTAAAACTGTGGTAACACACTAATGGAGACACACAGTGTGGCCTAGGAGACCAGAGCTAGGGCTCCCTGCTCTGCCTTTGTGTCTGCCTGGCCTGGCTCCAGGTCCTGCTGGGCCCCAGCTGTGCATGCTGTCCTGCAGCCGGCACCTCTAGTCTGTCCTTGAGAGGTGGCACAGTACACAGGACAGCGCTGTGAGTCCTGTAGCCACTCACAGTCCCCCTCGAGGCCTTGTCTGTAAAATGGGCAGGTTGGCTCCCTCCCAGCTGGCTTCCTTGTTTCTGTGTAAGGAGCACAAGCAATGCAGGCCACAGAGGCCCCCCTCCCCAGGCATGTTAGCCAAGAGGTGCTTGGGATAAAAATACATACGACAAGCAAACCTACCAGCTCCTGTGGACTGAAGGCCCCAGATGGAATGTTCCAGTACTGTACTACATGTTACAGGTTAAGGGCAAATCAGAGCAAACTTGGAGGAAGACATGGAGCTAAAAGGTACTGTACTTCAGGGAAAACGCTACAAGGCACAGGAACAGCTTCTCCCCAGGAGCAGTCTAGACTCCTGCTTTCAAATACAGTATCTAAAGGGCTATGGTGTGCAAGAGGGCCAGACCCCTCAGCCGGCCCCCAGGGGCAGTTATCATGGCAGTGGCCCAGGGGACACTTTAGGACAAATGGGCGGACTCTTCCCCAGTCACAGATGGGGACCGTAATGTCTGGGCTCACAGCTGTGGGACTTCTAGCTGCACAGGCTCACCCAGTATGTTGTCACCTTGCTGTCCTTCCCCCAAGTCCCGAGCGCTACACTGTCCCCTCCTGGGGCCATGGCGGGGTGGCAGCCTGGAGTGGACCCCTGACCTGGGGCTCACGCATCACCCTGGCAGTCCTCTCTTGCAGGATGGCGAAGAACTCCCGCATGAGCCTGGCCAGCGCGTCCAGTGAAAACTACACCTTCTGCTGGCGGGTGTTCTGCGCCTGGGACTACCTCATCGGGAACCCGGAGGCTGCGGAGAGCAAGACTGCCGCTGTGGTCAACAGCATCAGGGTGCGGAGGGCTGGGGGCAGGAGGGGCACCGCAGCTCCTCTTTACTATTTTTATTCCATCCCTTTAGAATTTCAATTTGTGCATGTTTGACAATTTACCTAATGGGTTGTTGCCATGGTGCATGCATATAACCTGTAAATAATTACCTATAAGGTAGGGAATAGAGGTTTTTATTTTTAACTTAGACATCAGTGCAATGAAAAGCAGTCAGAACCATGGGCCACCCTGGACCCCACAGGCCACTTACAACCCTAGTTGTTTGTTTTTTTTTTTTTAAGTCCAGTACTTCGATATATCACACTTTTCTCAATTTCCAGTCTCCTTTCTTCAAATGGTTATCAGATCATTGGTACTAAGTTCACTTATATCAGTAGAAGCTAACTGGAGAAATTTGTAGACACTGGAAAGATATGCTCAAGTACTGGATAAATCGTCTCTAATGATTTACAGTTAGTGACAGTGCTGAGCTTCTAATGCTGCCTGTGTTTTTCCTTAAAGGAGGCTATCCTTGAAGAACAGGAAAAGAAGAAAAGCAAAAACCTGTGAGTATTTTTTTCCATGTGCTGGATTCACTGTTTTGTTTTAACTTGATACTGACATTAGCCAGGCAATCTATGTCGTATTTTTATAATTGCTGAGCCACTCTTTTCCTTTCTAACCTCCATCCCTCTACTAGTGCAGTCTGTGGGAGCCCATGCCTTTTCCGAGGCGACATTTAGGAGCGATTTCTCCCTCCACGGTTCCTGCAGCAAGGCTCAGATCCCTGTAGTTTACCCTTTCCTGTTCATTTACTCAGATAATAAAACAGGTATTCTTAGTGCCAACTTCTATTTGCTAAATGAAGCAGACATATGAATGCTGCTGGGACTAATTTTATTTAGAAACAAATCTCCGAAGTTATCAGACGCAAATAGCATCCAGTTGATGCTCACAGCCTTTCAGGGGGCTTTCCCGGGTGTGAGGTCCTTCCGGAGACCTGAGAGCTGCTGGGCTGAGAGGCTGAGGCCCTGCCACCGGAGAACAGATTGAGGGCAGTTGTCCCAGGACGGGGCGTGGTCCTATCCTCGTTGGGAGAACATGTCTTCTCCTCTCAGATGTTTTCTGGGTCTTCACACTCATGGTCAGTGTCTATTGTGCAGAAAGAGCATGCAGAGGACTGTTGAAGAAAAAGGAAAATTGAGGAAATACTTTGGCCACAGGAACAGGGAATCAGAAAGCAGGGATCCCAGCCCCCCTTTGTCGTGGACTCCCATGACACCGGCCACTCCCTTGAACTTCCTGGACCTGCACCCCATCTCCTGTGGAATGAAAAATGGGACTTTTGGTCAGAGAGTGGGTAATCCTCCACCTTGGAGTCACCTGCAGTCCCCAGATATGGAGACCCTTTTTTCTTCTCCAGAGGAAGTAGATATAAAGTAGACATTCTGGGAATGCCACATACAGTAACAGAAGAAGAGGGCAGAGAAAGGGCATGGTGAGCATTTGGCTGGCAGCATCCCATTGGCCCTGCATACATTTTCTGGTGCAGCCACCAGAGGAGCCCCCAGGAGGGAACCAAAGGGGTCAGGACCTGCAGGAACCATTGCTGGGGCCACATTCCTCCTACCTGGGACCTAGAAATCATGGCAGCATGGTCTGTAGACAGGAGAGGCTGGAGAACACCTCATGGCGCTCAGGATTTCTCTCTCAGCATTTTCTATTTCCAGGGCTCTGTGATTCTTGATCTGCAGCACCTTCCTCTAGAGCTGGTGACTGTAATTATAACGTGTGCTCTAATACCATGGCTCTGTCTTCACCTGGCACTGACCATATCACTTAGAATGTGCTCCTTTATTGTGCAATTGAAGGGCTAAGACACACATGAAGGGAGGTGTGGTGACCAACCAAGAGATGAGGTCTCCAGGGGTAGGACTTCATGGAGCAGATTGGACACACTGGGCCTCCCCATTTTCCTTCCAGGCAGGGCCAGGCAGGCTCCATCAGGAGCAGGTTCCTCTCCTATACTTTGTGCTGGCTGCCCTGGCTGCTCTGAGCCAGACCTAGAGGTCTAAATGACCTCATCCACCTGCGGCCAGCAGGCAGGGTGGGGGCTCAGGGAGTCACCCTGGACCACAGGGAAGGAGGCAAACATCCCCCTCTTTTATGCCACCAGGCCCTGCGGTCACATGTCACTGCAGCCACCTCTCCTACGTCCTGCACTCAGAGCTCAGCTCCCTGCTTCAGGACCCAGACCACACTCCCACTTTCTGAGGTCACTTCCCAGTCCATTGCTGACAAACAGGCCTGTGCCTAGGCCTCTGCTCTCAGGGGTGCCAGGCTCAGATGGGCCACAGGCAGCAGAAGGTGCCTAAAAATCAGGCGCCAAGGTTGGTCATTTGTCCCCTGATATTGGATAAAGAGGATGTGTTTCAGTCACGTGCAGCTTCTAGAACACCGCTGCTCTGAGATCTGTCCACACTGTGCCAGGCTTGTGAGAAGTAAGACCACACGAGGAGAGGGGTGGATCCTCCGTCCCAGCTCATGCTCACTGAGCGGCTGCTTTATTTGCTGGTTCATCCTGTAAATACGAAGTTCCCAGATGTCCTTTGGCCTCGCCTAAGAGCTAAGGGTACAGGATTTAAAAAGATGAAAAAGTCAGAGCTTATGTTCTGGAGGGAAAATACAGCTGATAACCTATCAAAAAGACACCCGGTCCATGTCAGAGCCACTGTGTGGAGGGAAGGGCAGAATCGTTCTCTCCTGGATCCTTTCCCTCATCCTTCCCTCCCCTCCAAATGTAAATATGGATAGGACAGCACTCAAGTTTTAGTAGGAAAGAGCTGAAACCCAGACCTCAGCCTCTATAAAAAGTGTTTGTCTAGCCCCAAGTTGCTGCCTGGTGGAATGTACGATTCATTGTTGATCCCCTAGAAACTGCGGAAGGGGGCAGTGGCTCCTCGGGGCCCCTCAGCATTGGAAGTGTCTCTGTCCCTAAGCCCCTTTGCTGTGCCTCGCAGTGCTCTGAGCACCCCATGACTATCCCCCCACCCCCAGGGCTGTGACCATCTGCCTGAGGATCATTGCTAATATCCTGGTGCTGCTCTCACTGGCCGGGAGCATCTATCTCATCTACTTTGTGGTGGACAGGTCTCAGAAGCTGGAGCAGTCGAAGAAGGAGCTGACACTCTGGGAAAAGAATGAGGTAACCAGGGCTGTCTGGTATCTGCATCTCCCCACAAGACATGCAGCTGGGCCTCTGCCTCTTTAGTGGATTATGCAGAATGGTCCCTGGGGAACAGGTCAGCACTCTGGTTGAGGGTGTGGACCACAGGGCTTCAGGGGGCAGTGCTAAGGCTTGGAGAAGTGACTCAGGAGTCTCCGCAGAGGAACATAGGTTCATAGGAACACTCTCCAGCAATCACGCCAGTCTCTGCCTTTGGACTTTGCCATCTGGACTTTGCTTATCTCTGTATCCTCCCCACATCCTGCTTCCAAAATGAGTCCTGCAAATGTGCGTTAACGACAGACCTATATTCCAGTGTGGGCACAGTGCCTGATGTCAGACATGTGGCAGTTTCTAAATTACAAACAGTGTTCCCAGAACCAGCTTCATGTGAAGGACTCATTTGCTAAATAATCTCCCCAGCCCACAGAAAATGACTAAGTGGAAGGGTGTGGACAGTTTTAGAATTCTTAATATTCTGTGACATGGTTGTTGGGAAGGATTGGCCCGATTTACCTATGAAGGTTTGAAAGGCAGACATAGCACCAAATCACCTCTCAGGCCTCTTGTATGAAAATAAGTATCCTTTAGGATTTAAAAAGCAAAGAATGTAAGCAATAAGATGATCATCAGTTTATCCGATACATATGTATCAATGTGTAATAATTTATCAAACTCTAACACTGTATTAGATAAACTTCTCCTATACCTCTTTCTAATTTTTGTCAGATAAGTGGACTGTAGCAATGTTCATAATTTTATACAGATAGATAGACTTAGAAATTACCTATTATTTTAGATAAAACATTGTACCAGCTAAAACTTCTCTTTCTTTTGCCATGAGTACAAAGAAACAATAGCCAGGCATAATTCTCTAGATAATTAATCTTCTGTATAGAAAAAGCATATTAAATTTTCCCTCCGCCTTCCCTTTTCTATTTGTAATAATTGCAGTTATTTCCCTCTTCCGCCCAGGGCAGGGAAGTGTAAATGAGATGAAGCAGTCATTGATCAATGTGACAGAGATGCTGGCAAATGCCTGCTGGCATCTGAGTGTCCTCAGAATGCTGACGTTCTTAAGAGGAATGCACAGGGACCAGGGTATGGTAGCCTTAGGGAAAGGAGCATAAGCAGAGCTTGGGAAGGTTTGCAGTGGGGAACTGCTAGCCCCTGAGGGGCTCAGAGACCCGGAGAAGGGCATGAGGCTGGGGAAGCGCAGAGCCTGGCAGTGCTGTCTTGCAGGTGAGCGTGGTGGTGTCCCTCGTTACCATGTTGGCCCCGTCTGCCTTTGACCTCATCGCTGCCTTGGAGATGTACCACCCCCGGACCACGCTGCGCTTCCAGCTGGCAAGGTAGGCGCCGTGCCAGGAGGGGCCCACATGGCTCAGTGTCTGCCACCCAAGTGAGAACCCTCCAGACCCTGGCTGTCTTCTGTCCCTGACACTTCTGTCCCAGTGCTTCACCTGTGGGTGCAACTCAGGAAAAGAAGGGTGCCCAGGAAAGAAAAGGGGGAGGCAGGGAAGGGAGCCAGAGTGCAAAGGACAGAAGAACCAAATTCACAGGCAGTGGACAGGAGGAGCGGGAGGAACAGGCAGGAAGAGGAGCAGCAGGAAGATGTGGTATGCGCGTCTGGTTCTCCTCCTTGCTGAATTCCTCCCATGGTTTGATTCTGAATAGTGGAGAGATCCGCATTTTCTAGACCCAAGGGAGTAGCGTACATGTTGCTAATAATTCCCCGAAGCAGAGACCCTTCTGGAAGGGGCTGGGGGCCTCTGGGGATGTCAGTACCCTCTGTGGCAGAGAAGGCAGATGATAACTGTATACTGTGTGTATAATGATATCCCAGTTATACCTTGCAAGTCAGAACAGCACTGTCTTTTCTAGCAAGGGCTTGGTCCTGAAAGATCTGCTCCACTCCCCGTGGTGAAGCCCCTTCCTAACAAAGCCAGCAGGGTCGACAAAGTCTCTGTGGCTCACAGTGGCAGTGGGAGGTGGCCAGAGCCAGTTCCTCATGATTTCTCCTGCAAGGCCTAATAACATCCTCCAGAGCTGACTAAGCAAGCACTTTGGGAAGACTTCCTCCCTTAGGGAATCCACAGACATTTTCTGCAAAGGACCTGAGACTAGATAGTTCAGATTTTGTGGCTCCTACATATATGTCTGCCACAATGCTAAACTTTAAAGTTGTAACCACACACGATACAAAAAGAGAAGGCTAGGGCTGGGTTCCAACATTCCAACACAACTTTATTTAAGAAAATAGACGAGGGTAAGGTTGGTTTCTAGGCTGCAATCCGCCAACCCTGAAACCCAGCTGTCATTTCAAAGATAGAAAGGACCAGAAAGAGCGCAGGGCTGGCTCAGACCTCACAGCCCAGGTAGATCTGGGGCAAAGCTCTAGCTGGTTCTTTCTGCTCTGCTCGGCATTTCTTCCATCCAGGGGAGCGAAGGGCCTTCCTCAGCTCCTGCCTGCCTGGCGGGCAAGGGGAGGAATCAATTCTATTATTGTATTTGGTCTAACAGCAATCCTATTACACAGATTGGTCTCATTATTCATGTGTAAAACTGGAGAAACAGAGGCATGGAGAGACTTAGCCCAGACAAATTAGGGCTGATTCTGGTAAGAGGAGAGGGCACATTATTTCAGTTGCAATAGCTCACTGGCCTTTCACCCAAAGTGCAGTGAAAATAGCCATGCAGCATCAAGAGAGAGGTGGCATCCACTCCGCCCTCCCCTCAGGCCGCACCCCTAGGGTAGCTCTGCGGGGCAGTAGAGACTAAAAGCACCAGCCTGCCCGCGAGATGCCCTCGGCCTGTGCACAAGCGGGAGCCCTGCCCTGAGGAAAGGAAGGAGGCCTCTGGCGATGGCAGACTCTGCTTTCACTTGGAGTTCTTTCCTCCACATAAAGCTTCTTTCCCACCAACTGGCGCTGGACCATGACCCTCAGCCTGCTCACAGTTGTCCCAGTGACACATACACAGCCTGTTGCTTCCTTCTCAGGCTCAGGCCCCACGGTTTCACACAGGACCACAGCCTCCTGGGCAATCCCATGCGGATTTCCAAACCACCTAACTCAGGGAAGCCAACATCAGGTTTGTCACTGGCTGATGGAGACTGCTGGGCTCTGGTCACAGTAGCCCACATGCTGTAGCTACACCCACAGACGCCCTCTGTCACCCTGGGGGCTGGCCTGAGCCACAGATACTAGGCGCTGGGATCCCAAGTTTAATCCTGACTCCCTGTGACCTTGCGCACCGAGCAGTAACAGACAGCTCTACCGGTTTCTGTTCCCTCATCCTTTAAGTAGGAATCAGGATGTGTGAGCTTCACAGGGCTACCAAGGGGCTGAGAGAGCATGGAGATACACACTTCGCAGCCCTGCCAGGACCCCCGTCCTAAATGCACAAGCTTTCTGCCACACGAGTGTTCTAAATCTCAGACCCAAGGAAGGGCCCCAGTGGAATCCCTTTGGGAAGGATGGAAAAGGACTCCCAGCCCCTGCGCAGCCCTCCTGAGGCAGGGTGGATTCTGGAACTCTGCACTTTAGTGCCGCCTCGGCAGTTTAAAGAATGCCAGGAGTGGTGAGGAAGCCACTCGGTTTCTTCACCAGAGTCTAGAATAGTGACAGCGAACCTTTTAAAAAATGAAAGCCCCAATTGCAACCCAAAACCCACTTATTTATCACAAAGTGCCAACACTGCAATTAAACCTGAATACTGAGGTTTTAGTTTAGAAAAAGCAACTGCTATCCAATGCTTGGCTGCTAGGGCAACTCAGCTCACACGACAGCAGTGAGGGCTCTGTGGCACATATGCCAGAGGTTCACACCACTGGCCTAGAACCCTGTGGTGGGTCTGGGCCCGTGGATGTGGATGTGGGGGTCTTGCTCTCAAGGTGGGCTTATGGCTTTCAGGGTCCTCGTGCTGTATCTGGGAAATCTCTACAGTTTGATCATTGCCCTCCTGGACAAAGTGAACAGCATGAGCACTCAGGTGAATGCCCACCTCTGCCACCTCCCACACACCAGGGTCACCGTCACTGACAGCGTCATAGCTGCATATCTCATGTCCCAAACTCAAGGTAAGGTAAGAAAAATTAGCCTAGTTCCCAGCTAGGGAAGCTGAGGCTGGGACCCACGGCCAGTGAGTGCCTGTTCTGGGATGAAGACCTAGGGCTCTTGAGTCCACCCTTTTTGAGTCTCATCAAGAAAAGCTCTCAGCCAGGTGTAGTGGTGCATGCCTGTAATCCCAGCACTTGGGAGGCTGAGGCAGGAGGATCACTGTGAGTTCGAGGCTAACCTGGGCTAGAAAGTGAGCTCAAAACCATCCTGAAGTGCATAGTGAGACCCTGCCTCAAAAAGACAAAAAAATGACCCCAGGAACTTATTCAGAAATCAAGAGAGAACAGTCATCTCATGGCAAAGAGTCCACCCACTGTCCCAGCTCCACCAGCATCCCCACATTCAATCCAGGGTAGCTTTCTGCCCATCTCCGACCTACTCTTCTTGGGGGGACATCCTGAGTGGTGGGATAGGAGAGAAATTTCTGAGGGTTATTTGCCCAGGACAAACCATCCTAGCACCAGATCTGAAGGCTTACAGGTGGAAGAGGCCACACAAAGATTATTTTTGTTGCATTAGACTTTGAGGTTACACAGACCTGGGTCCCTGCTGACCACCTATCAACATGGTCTTGAACATCCATCTCCCACTTATTAAGCTGCAGTCTCTTGTGGGTGTGGGTAGTCATCCTTGCCTAGCACTCTCATGAGGATGAAGAGAAACCATGTGTCACCTCGAAGTTTCAGATACTACATATCCATTACATCTCTGTGTCCCTGGATAAGAGAGAGAGAGAGAGAGAGAGAGAGAGAGAGAGAGAGATTATTTCTAAGAAGTGAATTGGTCTCCTTGGTGTGCTGTCCCTAATGGTCTGTATTTATAAACATGTGGACATGCTCTTTCTTTTGTTCTTCCCTTCTTCACCCCTTCCACAGGAAGCAGCCTCAAAAAACAACGCAAGTGCTTTGATGGATTCTGCCACTTTCTTTGCCACTGGGCCATCCCCTGGAGAAGGGAGATGGCCCATGCCTGGGTCTGGAGCAGGGGTCGGGACAAATGACACTTGGGTCTTGGAGGAGACAAGGGTCCCCATGTACACGGTGCCACTCAACAAGGTTAACAAGACCATGCTCCACAACCAGAGTCTGCAAGGCCAGTGCTGGGAAACATACGTGGGCCAGGTAGTTCCCAATATCCCTATCAGCCCATCCACACCCATGTCCTTGCCTATCCCTTGCAGCTCTCTGAGGCATCATTGTCTCTGTTTTCCAGACCACAAAGAGTAAAATTTCCTGAGGCTTATGCTTTTCCAGGTCTCAAAGTTAATAACAATCCGTTCAAAGACCTGTGCAGGAGTAACCACGTGCTAGGCAGTGTCCTCATAAGACTTTTGTTATCATCACCATGGCACGGTGAGGAAACTGAGGCACAGGTGGTTAAGAGACTTGCCCAAGGACACAGATGGTAATGAGCAGAATAGTCTCAAACCCAGGACTCTTCTCCAAAATCTGTGCCCTTGGCTATTCTGCCTTTTGTCTTTGTTACCTAACCTTGGGCAGAGACTCTCAACTAGGAGGTCTTTGGTTTTTTTTTTTTTTTTTTTTTTTGGTTTTTCTCCAGTACCGGGAACTGAACTCACGACCTTGCACTTGCCAGGCAGGTGCTTTTGCCGCTGAACTAAATCCCCAGCCCCAACTAGGAGGTCTTATCCCATAGAAATGAGTCTCCTATTGCTCAGAACCTCATGCTCTAGAAACGTCCCTGTTGGGACAATGCTGGCCTTGGCTATGAAATACAAATTCAACCCCAGTGTTCACTGAACACCTATATGAGCCAGCAGCCCCTCCCTGTGCCCACTACACCTGGCTGGACCCTGGGAAGGAGCAGAGAGGAGGAAGAGTTGGAGCAGGGCAGGCTGGGGCAGCAACCAAGACCTTCCGTGTCGCAGGAGATGCTGAAGCTGTCCATCATCGATATGCTCTTCACTGTGGCCAGTATCCTGCTGATAGACTTCTTTCGAGGACTTTTCGTTCGCTACTTAAGTGATTACTGGTGCTGGGACTTGGAAAGCAAGTTTGTAAGTGAAATACTGGGTCCTTGGGGAAGTTCCTGAGGCTAAATCCAGCCTTTCCTGAAGCCTAGGCTGGGAAACAATCAGGTGTGGTGGAGAAAGTGCCCAAAGGAAGAAGGGAGGGGGCACAAGGCTGAGTACCACCTGTTCCAGCCAACCTTCACCTCTGGCTGGTGGTCACACAGGCAGTGACCTCTGGAGTCTATAAAAGCAAAGCATTTCAGGTGTGTAACTGTAATTAACTAATGTCTGCCAAAGACTTTGCAACTTTTGTGTTTAATACAGAAATTCTTTTGCTCTTCTCATAGCCTGAATATGGGGAATTCAAAATCGCTGAGAATGTGCTACATTTAGTCTACAACCAAGGAATGATTTGGTAGGCATCACAGCTTCTCTTGTCTTTGCTACATCTCCTCTGGGCTAAGATGTCAATGAGTGTGACTGGGATAAAACCAAATTAAACACAGCCATAAGCACTAAGACAGGACATTTGCAAGGGAACTAGTTCATGCATCGCAATTTTATTAGTGATTTTCTAAGGACTTTGTGGGAAGGAACAATGAAGGCAAGAGTCTATTTTTAAGCCACTCTTGGTCACAGCCAAAAGGTTACATTGGAACCAATAGAAGGGGAGGGAGGGCTGCGGGAAACTAGGAGGAGGAACTGCTTCTCCCTGAAATTCAAGGGGAATTAAGAGGTAAAAGTAATATTCCTTATATCAAATTCTATGTTCTTCTTTTTGGTACCAGGAATTGAACTCAAGACCTTGTACTTGCCATGCAGGCACTCAAATTCTATGTTCTTGTAGTCCACTGTATTTTGCAAAACATCTTCACAAGTATAATATTAAAAATACGTAACAGTTTAGAAATAGGCGCTGGATACCATGCATTTTTATCAGTAATTGATTTAATTTTTTGCTGTGAAGCTGTGAGGTAACTGCTGGTGTTTCCTGCGTTTTAAAGATGTGGAGACTGAGGCCCGGAGAAGCCAAGTGACCTGGCTAACATCACACAGACAGTGCCGTTTCTGCCTGCCACAGGAAACCGTGTATTGATTTTTGAAAAGACTTTTGTTCATTAGACATAACCTTTTATCTACTACTTTCCTACACTAAAACCAAATTCTTCAAGTGTTAGTTAACTGTGCATCCAGTATAAACTGACTCAGTATCACGTGTCCTCGGTTTCATTCTGTATTTGACACTTACTTGCAGGGTGACTTCCTATACCAGCTTCCTTGGGAAGGTTGAATTCTTTTCCATTGTCTCAACACTTTTATCCTCAAAACCATAAAGGATGACATAGGGTCTCCCCATTATTAGCAAAAGGTTTTGAGAAAATTGCCGCACTTGCTTAACTTGCCTTTCTTATCTATTAATTTTTATATTTATCCTTTTTTTCATAATTGCAGAATATTAAATGAACTAAAATATAGGAGGATGCTTAGCATAATGTTCAGCAAAAGTTGGTGCCCAGTGTATGTTAATTAAACCTAAAAGTCAGTGATCTATTAGCATAATGTACACCCTAGCCTGGCAAACTCTGGAGCTTGCCCCAAAGAGCAGCTCCCAGGAGGACTCTTCCTTTGCTTAAGTGTGGAGAGAGACAAGCATTAAGTAGTTCTGCAAAAGGGCTAATTAAGAACAAGAACCCTGCCCATGTGCAGAGTCTGGTTTTACCACCAGGATGTGGAGAGTTGGGGTCTCAGAACTTCAAGGTTTCTCCAGTCCTTTAATCATGGGGCATAAACCTCAAAGCCTCAGAGTCATGTTCCTCATGGGCTCCTGGGTGCAGCCTGCGAGATACACTGCGAAGGTGCACATGCCAACGGCCTCCCCACTGGTTGCAGGATGGGCGCCTTCTTCTCTCCCTGCCTGCCCGCGGTCAACGTCCTCAAACTCATCGGGCTCATGTACCTGAGAAGCTGGGCAGTGCTCACCTGCAACGCACCCCACCAGCAGGTGTTCCGTGCCTCCAGGTCAGTGGGGAGGGTGGGCCTGGGCCTGGCAGGGACCTCACGGCAGCCACACACACCCTACCCAGGGGGGGTCCTCAGCAAGACATCTCCCCCTATTCTGCTTGTCAAAGTCCTGCTACCTCCTGTCTTTTTCCCAGCTGCACGCATTTCCCAGGCTGCACTTTTGGAATTGGGCAGGACTCCTCTCAAGCACATGAGACATTTTTTTAAGCTTCCTACTGAAGTTTGATAGTCACTTAGAAAAGAATGCGCAAACCATAAATGTTAAGCTTGATGAATGGTCACAAACTGAATACCACCAGCTCCCAGATCAAAAACCAGAACATGCAGGACTGAGGAACCCCTGCTTTCCTCCCTTACCATCACCCTGTCCTCCACAGTATGGTGAGCTCTGCCCAGTTCTTATTTGGTGGAAATGAACCACAGGTCATGGTGTGCCCCAGGGTCCTGTTCCCATCACTCAGTGTGGCATCTGTGGAAGCCACCTTGTGGAGGAGCTGGGTTCCGGCCTCTCCCTTGGTGCTGCTGCTGAGGGATGTGTGAGCTGCTTCCAGCTGGCAGCCCTCATGGCCGTGTCCCTTAGTACTTCCCATAAGTGTGTATTGTCAGGAGCATATGCAGCAGAGTCCTTGCTGGGCAGTAGGACACGCATATATTTATAACTGCTGAATACATGGATCCAAAAACCTTCCAAAGTGATCCAAACTATCAACACTTCCAACAGAGTTACACTAAGATTCCCAGGGCCCCACAGGCTTAGTAACACTGGTTCTTCTCCAAGACTTCCATTTCAATTGTGTTGGTGACTTTAAAGCATACTGTGAACATAGTGAGCTTGGTTATGCCACTTTATTTGTGTATGGCTGTCAGTATCAGTGGTTTCCAAGCTTTGTAACTGTGACCTGCATGCCAGTGCTTTTACATTTTACTTGGTGAGGTAAGCAATACACATACAGGCTTACATTTGGTTATTTATTTTTTGTCCATTTACATGCATTTGTTTTACACATGTGTGTATATTTAATGTGTGTGTGTGTGTGTGTGTGTGTGTGTGTGTGGAGAGAGAGGAGGGTAGAAAGAGAACATTTTAACAAATTAACCTTCACCTTCTGTCTTTGTCCATTTTGTGCTGCTAAACAGAATAGCTGGAGCTAAGTCATGTATAATGAACAGAAATGTATCAGCTCACAGTTCCAGAACTGGGCGATCACAGCAGGTTTGATGACTGGTGAGACCCCAGCCTCTCCTTCCAAGAAGTTCCCTTAATCACTGCATCTTCCAAAGGGAAGGCAGAGAAGCAAAGAGGCAAAGGGGCTGAACTTGCTTTTTATATTCATATCAGTCCCACCATGAGGTACAAACCTCAGGGTCACAGCCCAGGGATCCAACTTCCCGAAGCCCCACAGAGCAGTCAAGTGTTAACGTGAGTTTGGAGGGGACCTATGCTCACACTGCGGCACTACTTGCTATGTCCTCACCAAGACTCCTAGTCAAGAGCATTGAGAGAAAGAGAGAGAAAGAGTGACCAACAGCAAGCCATGCATAAGGTCCTGAATTCCAAGTGGGTCTAAATCACCCTTGTAGGGGAGCTGTGGCAGGCTCACAGACACCACCCAAGGCCTCAGGGACCAAGAATCAGAGAATAATGGAACAGAACATTTACCTGAGCACCCAGCAGCCCAGAGGTTAAGATATTGAGTATAAATCTCATCCAAGAGAGATAGAGTCAAGAATCCTAGCAGAAAGAGCCAAATCCCCTTGAGACATAAGAAACAAGTTCACAGCTGGGAGCAGGAGAGAGGATTCTTAGGTCAGGACCTAAGTGGGCAAAGTTCTAAGCTTTTTCCCATACCCTGCTCTTGTTGGGTGGGAGCCATGGCAAGGAGGTGGGCCCCTGGCTCTTCTGTCTTGTGCCAAGTGGGTGCTCATCCAGTGACTGTTGGAGGAGAGATTTGGCTGCAGACTCCATGATGTTCCTCTGAGCACTGATTTCCAGGCTTTAGTACTTTGCGCACGTGACCCTGCAGCACACCCGTCCCTCAGCAGCTCTGAGAGGAACTTCCTATGTGCAGAGTCAGAGGCAGCTTCTGTGTCGGTCTTGGGACATCTGTGCCCAGCTCTGGAATGCACGCAGCACCCAATGTCTGGTGTCTTTGCAGGTCCAACAACTTCTACCTGGCCATGCTCCTGTTCATGCTGTTTCTGTGCATGCTGCCCACCATCTTTGCTATCGTCCGGTACAAGCCATCCCTAAACTGTGGACCCTTCAGGTAAGCTCATTTAGCTGAGATCTGTGGGGAAGGAGAGTCCCCTGAATTGCATTTCCCCCCTGGCTCACAGCACAGGTAACTAGCATAGAAGTAGCTCAAACTCACATCTTATGGACCCAAAACCAGGACTGCCTTTAGATGTAATGGGATACCTTTAGGCATAGTCATCTCTGAGTTCATGTTAGAATAAAAAAAGGAAATAGCCCTGCTCTTAGGCCAGAGAAACTCTCCTTACAGGATAGCTAACAGGATAGCTGACTTCTATTGCTTTTTTGAAAGGAACAGTTAATGTTTAATTGTTTGATCAATCTTACATGTCTATGTGTTTACCTGAGTAACCAATTTGAAAATATCAATATGTAATACAACAACCATTGTTAATTTCCTACCACCTTGTCTGAAATTCAGTATTGCTTGTATTGTTTTTGTGTTATTTTGTAAATGTATGTGTGTTTGTTATTATGGTTTTGTTCTTTTATCTTTAAAATAAAAAAAACAGAAGGCTTTATTAAAAGATAGTCACTTTTTAATTCTTCATGATCTAGCTAAAACCCATGGTGTCATTTTCATCTAGTATTTAATCAGTTTTGATACAATACATATGTAAGTTTATCTTTGTGTGCATGATTAAAAGACATGCCGTGTGATGACTGACCCCAGCCTCATGTCTGCATAAGCATTAGATGGCTACTTTGTGTGAAATCATCTATGGGGAAGCGGTGTGTCTTTTATTTTGGGGAGTGTTTAACTCTAGCTTCGTAGCTGAGCATTCAGACACTTTTGGATGTCTTGTGGCACCCTTCTCCCCAAAGCAATAACATCTGGAGCTATGTGTTTCTATCTCACAGCGGACAAGAGAAAATCTACGATATCGTGTCGGAAACAATTGAGAATGACTTTCCCGGGTGGGTCAGTTCCGTGGTCGGGCACCTTAGCAGCCCTGTGGTCATCCTGCCTGCTGTGCTGCTGCTGTTGTGAGTGGTATACTGCCAGCCTCTGGGGACTGCCTCATGCCTGGCCACTGCTTACCAATAATTATGTGAAATTAATTAGCTCATTCAGAAACCACTTGTGCAGCCTGATGATCTAAGCTGGGACTCTGAGTCAAAACCCAGAGTCACTTGAGCCACCACACTGCAGGGAGACAGCGTGAGATCTCAGTAGGGGAGGGGGACACCCCGTGGCCATCAGGGGGGCTACTGATCCATCTGCTGCACTTGGGCAATGACTGTGACTACTGTCATGAAGCCGAACATCAGAAGTATAAGTATCTTATTCTGCAGAATTTAAAGGATCTTAAAAAGGAATTTCCCAGTACAGCCAAGAAGTTCTGGCTTCTTCTTCTTCCTTCCCTTCCCTGGCCCTCAGAGTTAGGGGCCTCTTAAAGTTGGCAGCTTGGATTTCTCCATAGCCTGACCTTCATCCTACCCAATCCCCATGCAAAAAGAGTTTCCTCCCTTTCCTTAACTGAAAGTTAAAAAAAAATTCCCATAAGTGTCAATAAGTTTTGGCTTCTTGCAGTGAGGAGGGCGAGTACTCCTGGCTTAATACCGAATGTCCTCCCTGCTGCTGTCCCAGAACAGAACTCTGGGTCATCAGAGTTGCTGCAGAAAGCAGAAGAGGAAAGCAGTCATTCCCTGTGCTCTCCATGGAGGGGTCAATGCAAGCCACAGTTGGCTTGGGGATGCTTGTTCTAAGCAGCTAAGCAGCGGCGTAGCCTGGCAGCCAGGCCCTCACTGCTGTGTCCTTCTGTCCTAGCATGCTCATCTATTACCTGCAGAGCATCGCACGCTCCCTGAAGCTCAGCAACCAGCAGCTCAGAGTGCAGATCCAAAATGCAAGTATCGGGGCTGGGGATTTAGCTCGGCGGCAAAGTGCCTGCCTTGCAAGCGCAAGGTCGTGAGTTCGGTTTCCGGTACCGGAGAAAAACCAAAACAAATTAAAAAATAAAAAAATAAAAATACAAAATGCAAGTATCCCTGGTACTCTACTGTGTGCCCCCCATGGGCAGCAGACTCACCGATCTCATGAGCGCTCTGCAGCAGCATGAGAATGCAGCTGACACAGCTCTTGGTCACTTCTATGCCTCAAGGCCACCCCCACACAGATCTCCTCCAGATATCCCTAAGAATGTGCAGCTGCAGTGGGGCACACACTCTCTGGGGATAAATTACTGTGCTCATCTTTCTCCTCCTCTTCAAGGGCCCTTGCTGAAGCCCTAAGCACCTCTGTGTTCCTCGGTGGCCACACCAAGTCCAGACTCACCTTCTTCACGTCCTTTAGGTTCTCACTGCAATGAGATTCTTTCCTGCCTGGGACTCAGATTCTCTCTGAGCAGGCAGAAAGAGACAAACACTCCTCAAACCCCGGGATGTTTCCTTCTCTGCAAGCCCTAGGCTCTCTCAGGTCTGGGGTGAGGGTAGGGAGGTTCCCAGCCCACCAGATTTAAAAGGTTCTCCCCACGTCCGGCAAACCTTCCCTTCCCTGACCCTCAAAGTTAGGGCCTCTTAAAGTTGGCAGCTTGGATTCCTCCATAGCCTGACCTTCATCCTGCCCAATCCCCATGCAAAAAGAGTTTCCTCCTTTCTCTTAACTGAAAGTTAAAAGAAAATTCCCATAAGTGTCAATTCATGCACAGAAATATAGATTCGTTTTCTATAAAGTCAAATTAGAAATTCTTTGCAAAGGGTGTCACTGTTTTTGATCTGCCTGGTCTTCTTTGAGATGAAGGCAGACTATCCTAGCATCCCCAATCTAAAAATGTGACATCTTAAATGCTCCAAAACCTGAAAATCTAAGTGCCAAAATGATGATCCAGTTGGAAAATTCCATACCATGAAACTGTTTCATGCCCAAAATTATTTTTAAATGGTCCATAAAATTCTTCAAGCCATGTGTATAAGGTGCATATGAAACATAAACGATTTCACGTGGTCTCATCCCTAAAACATGTCATCACATATGTGTACCTATTCCACGTGTTAGAAAAATTCAAAATGCTGCTGAGCCCAACCATCTCAAACAAGGGACACTATTACATTGGCAGAATCTAAACTTGGCCAAGGAATCAGCTGTCCCTAAATGAAACCATTTAGGCACAAAGCTTTGGCTCTTAGGTGTCTGCATTCATTCACTAGAATAACGGGCAGGGCCCAGGCACTTGAGGGACAGGGGGAGGTGGTCATGTCCAAGGTATGAACAACAACGCAAAGGTCTTTGCCTCCCCAAGAACGGAAACTTTTCACTGCTTTCTGCTGAATCCAAATCAAACATGACTATCATTTACATTTTAGGCAAGATCTGAAGACAAGAAAAAGGTTGCCCAGCTGGTAGAAGGTAAGTACGTTTAGAAGCACAAAAGTCCAATGTATCAATCAACAAGCATCTAAAAATAGAGCAAGAAGGTAGTTTACAGTGTACCATACCCATAACAATTCTTCACAGCCAACACTGGCATCTCATGACTAACTAGGCACCATCAAATAAAGTGTAGGCTACAAATACCAGTTTAAGTCTTTAATTGTTACATCGTGGCAGGCCTGTACATAACCTCCAATCTGATGAGAAGGAAGGTTGAAGTAGCAAAGAAAGCAGCACAGTGATCTGCAGCTCCCTGAGACTCGTTCCTGTTCGTGCCCTTCCTGCAGAGGCCTAGCTCTGTCTGACAAGATACTCTCCTCTGCCTTCTCTTTCCTCACCTTGTTGATTGTTGGCAGCTGGGCAGGCCCAGACTGCAAAAACAGATTCCTGAGTAAGTCTCCAAACCCAAGGACTCTCCCACCTGAACTCTTTCCAAAAGAATCTGTCACATGAGCTTTCTTATGTCCACTATATAGATAATGAGCCATGTGGAGGTGTCCAAGGGTGCACTGTTATCTCGGGTCTCATTCCTTCTACATTCCTATTCTAACTTTCTGCAACAAATGATTTGGCCACTGAATGTTCATTGTGCCTGAGTTGCTGCATTTGTAAGGGCACCTGGTTGTTTGTAGACTCAGCTGTTGGCAGTCATGAAATTCTTGGAACTAAACCAGCCTGGCGTCTGTCCCCCTTCTGTTACTATGACAGGTACTAGATATGGTCCACTTAAGAGAGAGAAAGCTTGGCTTTGCTCGTGGTTGCAGAGGTTCCAGTTCCTGATCACGGGGCCCATTGCTCTGAGTGAGTCGGCACCTGGCAGAAGTGTGTAGCAGAGTCTGACTGCTCATGCTGTAGCCAGGGAGCGAAAGAGAGAGTGTGGTTCCTGCCATCCCTTCAAGGGCACATCCCTGTGACCTCAAGACCTCCCAAAGGCTCCACCACCTCCAGATGGTGACCCGCGGGGAACCAAGATTTTAACTAACCCTCAGGCCTTTGGGGGACAGTTAAAATCCGAACCGCAGCAAGCCTGAATCTAGCACCTGCTAGATGTCATCTTCTCATAAGCCCTCCCTCTTCCTGCAGCTCGAATCCAGACTCAGGAGGAAAGCTCCAAGAGGCTTCCAAAGGACAGCGACTTTGCACACATGGTGACATCCCTGAACAATGGCACTGTGGTCAGCTTTGACTCCCTGAGCATCGAGAATGGCAGAATAGAGACCATCACTGAGCCTGTGCCCCAGAGCCCTGGGCTGGGCCACAGGGGTCCCTGCTCACCTCTTCCTGGCACGTCCAAGCCAAGGCCAGAGCGCCACACTGACAGGTGAGGCTTATCCGCAGCCTAGAAAGAGACTTGGCTTCCTCAAATGTGACACCAGTCATGGCCCAGGGCCACAAAAGGCACACACAGGAAAGCCACTAGGAATGTGAAGGCCTTGACAGTTGCAGGAGGCTAGGGACATTAAATTCCAATTCTCCCAGAAGGCTGGCCATGAGGTTAAGAGACTGTCACCAAAAAAAATGGAGAGGGTAGGAGAAGGGAGTCAAACTTTGTCAAAAAGAGCAAATTCTTTTTCCTACACCATCTGCCATATAACCTATATATGAACCTTTCTGCCTGCCCAGCATACACAGTGCCATAGCCTAAGAAAAGAAAATGCTTTTCTATTTATCTTCCCTTTTCCAATTCTGAACTGGCAGTATTATTGGCAAGGCCTTCTATATTTCAGCTTCAGGCTGATTAAAAATCTAGGCAAAATCATCTGTGCACTATATGGGCCACTTGGTTCCATCTTTCCTAATAGAAAGCAGTGGACCCACTTCCTTTAGTGGAAGTGGGATGCCAGAAGGGTGCTGACCCAAATGCATACCCCGAATTGTAACTGATCTTAATGTAACACCATGGAAGCACTGTAGAGAAATACAATTTCTCTTTTCCCTTTGTTTTTAAAGACAGTGACTAAATTTGCAAAGAATTTGAAATCTTGCTATATGAGGTGCAGGGTCACAACAAGGAAGAGGGAATCAGATGACCCTGGGGGAGCCATACGAGTCAGGCCAGCACCGCTGGACAGAGTGGAGTCTCAGAAAGAGCTTCTTAACATCCATAAAGTGCCCCCAGTGGGAATTCAAGGAAGTTCTGGGGAGGGGAAGATAATGGGCAACAATGGGCAGTGCTCCTAATAAGTGCTCTGTAAACACTGGTCTCAGAACATGTTCCCAGACAGAACGAGGGCCCTTTGGTATGTGAGAGCAAAACACGCCACGCTCCATCCCTGCTGTACACATCACTTCCGGTCCCAGGGCTCCTAGTAGTGAGAGGTCTCTTTGGCCCATCTCCCACATGTGTCCAGCCACAGGACACCCGGGGCACCATGGAACTGACAAGGCCCTGGCGGGCCTCTGAGACCACTGAGGCCAGGCTCCTTAACCCCCTTGTCTTACAGGTGTCCACAGGGGCCATGGGCCAGCACAGGGGACCTTCACCAGCACAGAGCCTGCACACCCGTGATGCTGCCAGAGTACATTGAGGATATACGGTCAGAACTCCTTTTCCAAAAAGACTTCCCGCCCATCTACCCTCCTGGCCATGGCCCAGGGGTGTCAGTCTTGGAAGCACACGGTCATAGACCCCACACCTCCAGGTACTACCTCATGAAAGAGCGTGATTCCCACCAAAAACCCCACCCAACTTTCTGGCCAGAAAGACGTTTCAGGATGGATGCTCCTGGTGACATGGTGGAGGTGTACCCCAGGAACATGCAGCAGCACGTGTCCCGGGCGCCCCTGCGGCCTGGCTCTCCACAGCTGAGTGAGGAAGAGGAGGAAACACCAAGGAGAGCTGGGGGCCAACGGCCTCTTGCCCCTCGCTCCCTGACGGACCTCCATCAGGCTCCTCATTTTTACATTGGTGAGAGGTCCAAAAGCCGGACCCAAGATCCTAGGCCCTGGGGAAGGAGGCGCTGCAAGTCTGGGGGTGACGGTTTTGAGAGTCAAGCTGCCAGGCCCGTGTCTATGCCCAAGAGGCCCTGCTCCAGGAACGGGCAGCATCCACAGCACCCTCCGCAGCCCCGGGCCCGGCCCAAGGTGGAGCCGCTCTTCACAGATTCAGACTCCTTGTCAGTGGTGTCCAGCAGTGACCAGCAGAACAGCAGCACTGACCAGTACCTGCAAGTCACCCGCCGCCAGGGCAGGCTCCTGAGGGCCACAGGGCAAGCTGGCCGGAAGAAGGCCAAGTCCAGGCGGGCGCTGCCCACTGAGCTGGATGGCCTGGTCTGTTCCAACGTCTAGGCTTCCTCCTAGAACCTCTTCACTGGGCCTATAAGCCACCACTCAGCCCTTCTGGAGAGAAGACTACTGCTGGACACCAGAGGTTATGCGGGGCATTCAGCCACACCCGTGGCTGGGTCTCAAACTGCATGCTGATTCTATCGCAAACAGGCACAAGTGTCATTTCTGAGCACCTCCTGTGTCCAGCACACAGGAGCTCATCATTCCAAGACAACACAGGCAAGCCAGAGAGCTCAGCCCACCATGGAAGCCCAGACCCTCTTCTCCCTGAAACAATGTGTGCATGCCGTTTGTACGTGAGGTGTCCTATGTACAAGGACCACTGCTCCTGAACAAGCACCAGAAATGAAAATGAGGGCTTCATAGCGCTTAGTGAGTAATGAAAAGTCAAGTAACAAGAAGAGGAATGAATTGACAAGAGCTTCTTTTACTATATACTGGGCTGTGTGTCCTTATTAATTAGAACTAAGCTTGCACAGAATCCAAGTTTTATCCCTAAGTGTATCGACCTTTTAACTGGGAAAGATGGAGATCAAAACCCAGGAATGGGTTCAGAGGAGGCAGCACACTGAATATCTCTGGAATTACCTGTCTTTTCTCCGCTCTGCTGTCCCTGAGCTGCTCTAGCTCGTTTCTCCTAGGCCACCAGCTTCCTCCATGTGGCAGGCAGAGGAGGATTTCACAGCTCCAGAAAACAGCCGGTTTGCAGCACACAGCCAGAAAGCCTGGGAGACAGAGCTGAGCGCTCAGTGTGCTGCTGCCTGCGGCCCTCTGACTGGCCTTATGCAGGTCAGCAGGTGCTGAATCTGCCACAGTAACCAGGACTGGGTCCTGATCCATAGTTCCATAGAACACTTTTCATTCTAATTGTGTCTTCCCAACAATCTGCCTCCTCAACCATACTTTGTCTTTGGAATAAAAATGGCATTTTTTTTCACTGCTGCATCCCTTGTGACAGACATATAATAGATTTTCTATTTGTTTTCTATTGCTCCTGTGAGTCAAAATAATGACAGAGACTTGCTGAAGATTAGGTTTCTTCTTTCATAGCAGGCATTGTGATGGGAATCCAAATGACACAGTAGACTCTGTGTGTATTCAAAATTTAAGGCAAAGGAAGCTTTTAAAAGCAAAATGAGGATTCCATAGGTGGTCCTAATCAACCACCCTTGGCTAAGGGATAGGTAATACCAGCCCAAGGTTAGATGGGCAGTGACTGGGCCCTTGCAGAAATACTGTTAGTGCTTGGCTGCGGTTCTGGTGTATTTTGTGACTAGTTCACTACCAGCTCCCTGTGCTCGAGATCCCTTCCTTTACAACCTCCTGGATTTATCTACTTTCTCTTTAGGGCCTGACACAAGTTGCTCCAGTTTGATTTGGACAGTGACTAGCTGAGTGCCTTGAACAATACACACACACATAGTATCCCCACAGTTTCCATGGTGAGGAGTCCAGGTGTGGCTCATCCCAGGTGTGGCTCAGCCAGTCCTTTTCTCGGGGTCTCAGCAGGTTGTAACCAGGGCATCAGCCTGACTAGGATTGCATCTCAAGTTTAAGGTCCTCTTTCCAGCTTATGTGTTTATTGGCTGAATGCTGAATGACTTTCCTTCAAGTTCTAGGACAAAGGTTATATCACCTCTTAGAGGCTGCCCACATACCCCCACCATGTGTCCCTCTACACGTGGTTGGTTGTACCTTCACTGTCTGAAAGTGAAAGTTCTCTTCAGCTTTTGATTTCTTTTTCCAGGGAAGGTCCAGACTCTCTTTTTAAAAGGGTTCACTTGAGTCAGCCAGGAGAAACTCTGATGATTAACTGGAAGTTAACTGCTTGGAGACCTTGATGCTAGCTTCAAAATGACCTCACCTTACTATCTACCACAACCCAGCGTGGGGTGAGAACTGACCAAACCCACCAACGCCAGCACAGCAGGAAGAGAGGCAAACGGGGAGTAGGGGCAGGGGAATGCTGGAGGCCTGACAAAGATATTCAACAAACATGGAATTCAATATGGGGTAAATGGTGAGTGAGCTGTACTGATGACTGAATCACAAATAGCATGCTCACTGGATTAGAGGCCAAGATACACGATCACCTCTAACCAGACAGAGAAATTTAGTCTAATTATTGCCATTTTAAAAATGCACACAGATGAACACCCCTCCCTGGATTCATGAAAAGGAGTACCCCTAGTTTCAAAGTCTGGCCCTGAAAGAGGTGAGGCCATGGGATGTCCATTGGTGACCGAGGTGCTGGTCTGTGGTGTGGCCTAGAGCTCACCGGGATTCTGGGGAAGGCTGGTCCAACAGCCAGTTGCACATAGCAGCACATACCTGCGTAGATGTAGGAGGAACCTCATGAAGGTTAGAGGATAAACCAGCTTTGGGATGTTCCTAAGAAAACACAGTAACCAGAACATACCCAGAACTGTAGGCACAATGTTGCCATATGTACTACGCACCTTGGCACTTAGCATTGGGCTGGCTTCAATTTAGAAAAATCTAAAAGATACTGATTAGTGTGACAAGCACCTGTGTTACTACTGGGAGGGTCAACAGTTGTTGAAATTTTATTTTATTCTCATCTAGACATTTTGTTATTATATAAAAAGAAACCATAACAGACATAATCAAAGTCCACATTCACCCCACACTGAATCTCATTCCCCTCACACTGTCAGGAAGTTGGTATGAATCCATCCAGTGGAACGCTTGTAGTTACAGATGTGTTTGTGTATATATATGCAGAGGCATCTGCAAACAATATCTAAATACATTTTACTCAAGTAAATTCTGTTATTCTGCATGTATCCTTGTATGTATGTTTTTGATGTCTATAGATCTAACTCACTTATGACTGCAGCATACTATGGAATCATGTGAATAAAGTATCTGATATTTACCCCTTTTCTCCATGATGGACATTGACATCTTTTCTACTTCTTTGCTACTAAAAGTAATCATGCGCTGGGGTATCTTTTACAAGTTTCCTTAGAAGTAGATGTTCGTCCTCCTAAAAGAAAAGTCTGTACCCTCTAGGAGATTAGTATGAGCAGGACTCCAGGCTGCTCTTCTATTTGTCTTTCTGGTCCAGATCCCGAGACCGCCTTCTTCAACCTCACCCCAAAGGAGGTTGACCTCGCACTGTATCACTTTTGCCTATTCAATGAAAAAATTACTGAGTTATTTTAATTAGTTTGCCGTTTTACATTGCTAGCACCTTTCCTTAAGTTGCATTTTCTCTTTGTGAACTGCTTCCTGCTCTGTGAGGGCCATCGCCATCACCATCGGCCTGAAGCAGTTTCCACAGGGCTCCCAGGACAGGACTTATGGCTGCGCAGTGTCTCCCTCCCTCCCCTGAATTCCACCCCCATCTAAGTTGCCACAGAAGGCACAAACCTACATTACGGATGAAAGCCAGCGCAACTGTGGTTTCATGGTGTTCCTTTGCATTTAGTTGTAATCCCAGGGAGGGTATACGTTTTTCTGCCCTTTAATTAAACTACCATTGAGGACATAATTCACAGCATCATTAAAAATCTCTCCTAAAAATGCCTGCATAACAAACTCCTCTCAAGTCTCAGAGATCAGAAGTGTAAGCGTCAAAAATAAAGAGTGAGTACCTCTTGATGAGAAGAGTCTGGTAAATACCTTAGTGACCTAGAGATCATCCTTTGGTCACTCCTGTTGTTGCAGATTTCATGAAAGCCAGGAAATTTAGCAGAAAGCTTTCTACACATCTCTGTAAAATTGACTTTCTAGCCTGAGGCAGTATTTTCCAGCCTCTCTGAGTATATGTGTCCGCATGTAAGTTCGTGCCTGTCATTTTTTTTTTTCTTTCAAGTCTGCAAGTAGTTTTCTTTTTTGCACATTTCATGGTAAACAGTATATATGCTAGCCGGGCATGGTGGCACACACCTGTAATCCCAGCACTCGTGAGGCTGAGGCAAGAGGATTGCTGCGAGTTCCAGACCAACCTGGGCTATAAAGTGAGTGCAAGGCCAGCCTGAACTGCATAGCAAGACCCTGTTTCAAAAAGACAAAATAAAAGCATCACTGTATATGCTTGTAGGAAGTGGGAGATAATAAAACATATGAGCAAATATGTCACCTTTGGAACTAGAAACAGTATTTGCCCACAAACTGCCACTTACTAGCTATATGGCCTCGGACATGCTCTACCAACTCTCAGACTGCAAAATGCAGTAGTAGTTTCTGCTTCACGGTGCTGCAAGGATTACATGGGCTGTGCATAGGATGGTGGCTGGCAGGTGGTAAGCACGGAGTAACAATTAGCTGTGTTAAGTGAACAACAAACATTCATTTACAAACTTACTTTATAGATTCAGACAACCTAGTCAACACACTGCTGAAAGTCCCTACCTGCACAAACACTTATTTGAAATTCAACCAGGACTTTAAATAGGTGAGACTGAAAGACCTAAGGATTGGCGGCACTGAAAGTCCTGAGGAGTGGAATCTACAGACCTCGCATTCCTCCTTCCATTCAGCTCCTAGCAAGCCTGCCCCAGACCAGATCAGAACCTGAGAGAGCTTCGTGGACAGTGCCACCTCCCCTCTGCTCCTGCCCCTGCTCACCCTGCCCTGTGCCACCCTCCAGCATCAAAACAGCTGCAGAGCTGCCCTGATGTTGCCAGTCTCCCACTTTCAGGTTATCACAGGCTTTGGAAACACTTTATGTCTCCAAGTATTTTGTGTGCCCAGGTCTTCCCATTTGGGGAAGCAAAGATGAAAAGTTCTTATAGCGCAGAAAATTCTTTACAACCTGTTTTCCATGCTTTGTTTAAATAAGTATAACCATCTTTTGAATAGCTGATGTCTCACAAAAGTTACTTTCTACAGCAAGACTTCCTTTGCTGGGCTGGGGGATAGCATGTGCCATGCTGCAGGCTATATCCCCAACCCAGAAGGAGCAGCCCAGGAGGAAAGAGACTTTCTCTTACTTTCCCTCAGCTTTCCTTGCTTAGTGTGGCTCCAGCCTGAGTCTCAAGTTAGAGCTTTCTAGACATTGTCTACATTGAACTTTTAGGCTTTTTAAAAAGTTAATAAGACCTACATGCTAGTGAGTAACATAATTAAACAGTATAGGGTGATATAAAATTAAAAGGAAATGTCTTTGAGCTTACTCTATTAAGAGTTTTTTTCTGTATCTTTCTAGAAGTGAATATCCTAAACACACACACACACACACACACACACATATATACATACATATAAACATATACAAAGTCATACATTGCTTACCAGTGGGGGTATATTTTGAGAGACGTGTAATTAGACGATCTAAGTGAACATCACAGAGTATCATACAAAGTAAGATGGCAATGATGTCACTTATGGGACCACCACTGTACATACTTCGTGTCACTGACCAAACTATTCTTAGGTGGCACATGACTATACAGAAGCATAAACATATACAAGTATGTCTCTAGTCATTTCCTTTTCACACAAGATATATATATATAAAATGGAACACACATATCATATATGAATGTGCATTATAAGGGAAGCACCACTCCAATTGCTATTCATTATTAAATCATTTGACCACATCAACTATGTTATTATTATTATTTATTTCATTTTCCAGATGAGACTGCCTGAAGTCTGGAACAATCAGCTCCTTGTCAAGGTTGCCTCTAGCAGGTAATGCTCCTGCTAGGCTTTGAGCCTGGGAAATCTGACTTCAGCACTGGTTTTCTTTAAATTTTTCCCCAGTGCTAGTGACCCAACCCCAGAGTAGCTTGAGTAAGCTAGACAAGCTCTCGTCACTGAGCTCCCCCACCTGCCCCAACACTGGCTTTCACGTCCACAATGCTGCAGCCCTTCAGCTGGTATTTTTGACTTATTATATTGTACACTAATAGCTTGCTCTACTGGTTTATATGCAAAAAAAATTTATTGGGGAAGGACAAGAACTTAAATGACACCCAGCTAAGCTTTACATCCCTTCAATTCCTTGCAGAGAGTGAACAGCTCATGGTGAGAAGGGCCTACACTCGCTACTGCAGCCAGACTTAGCCTGCCCCCTCTCCCCACCTCCTGTGGAGCGACCTGTCTGCTCCATCCCCGCCTCCCCTTCTAGGCCCTAGATCACTGTAATGGTTACATAATATCTCACCGCATGATACGCTGTGACGAGTATATTGACAAATAAAGAGGTTGCTTCCAGTTCAAGATCATTCCTGCATGCCTTTAATAATATTGTGTTCCCAAAAAGTTGCTCTACTTACACTCTCATTCACATGTGTAAAAACCACTATTTTGGCTTACTGTTCTTAACACAGGATATTAACAAATCTCTTCAGGTTTGTCCATCACATAGGTCCAAAAAGTGTCTCCATGCTTTAATCTGAGTCCCTGTGACCGAAGCTCTACGTCTGTTTGTGTCCTTATTAGCCCACCTTTATTTATCCTTCCATCAACATAGCAGTGGGAAAGGAGGGCAGGATGGGTCCAGATGTTCTGGTCACCCACCTGTGCACCTCATGCCTATCTGGGGTTGCTAAGTACAACACAACCTCCAGCTGCTGCTTATCTCTAGGGAGGCTCAGGGGCCTGGCAACACCAGCTCTCTTCGGATTCACCTCAGCCACTATTCTGAGGTCTTTATTTTTTGTGCCAACTTCCTCGAGGGCTGAATCTCTCTCTGCCTATTAATTTCTAATTTAACTGCCTATAATAATGCTGCTTCCTATGCTCTTCGCAATGCCCTGCAAGGATATGGTTTTTTTTTTTTTTTTTCTTCTTTTATCATCTTATGGTACCCCGGAGTGAGTGAGCCTCAAGGAAAGTAAGGGATTTGCCCAGCAGCGGGTCTGGACCACTAAGCTCCCCTATTCCGACACACTTCCTCCCACAGCCTGGCTTCTCATCTTGCAAAAAGGGTTTTCAAGTAGTCACTTTGCTTCCGCCACCCGTCCACGCGTTTCTTTCAAACTTTTAAATGAAGCCAATGTTCACACACAGAGAAAGAACGCACAGACCTCAGCACCGACCTTTTCAGAAACGTGGTTAGATGCAGCCCTGCAGAGGTGGCAATCCAGGCTGACCAAGCTGTTCACACTGGGGACTGCAACGCCACCCACGTCCCGCCAGCCCGTCCAGAGCAGTGGAACCCCACAGGAGCTCCTCTCCAGCAGGCCCCGAAGGTAGCTGTAACCAAGGGTGTGCCACGAGATGTGCCCCCAGGCACAGCCCGGTGCCACCGGCGGAAAAAAAGCATTTCAATAACAGGCAAGGAACGCAAAAAAGATCAGAGTTGATTTAGAACAGCGTCCGCTGCCGAGGAGGCCGGTGCGCGAGTTTCCAAGAGAGGAACCTCGCCAACAGGGTGAGACATGGGGGCTTTTGATAAAAGTTTGAGAAGTGTCTAGACAGCAAATGCTCCAGAGAATCCGATCACCCAGCACTCCGCGGATCTCTAGGGAGTGCCAGCATTTCGGGACTTTCAGCTTCAGATAAAAAGTGAGCTAGAAGGCTTTATCTTTTACAGAAGATGGGTCAGGACTCCTTTGGAGGACGAATGGGCCTTACAGCAGAAAGTTTTTACTGTCCTACCAGGCGCCTATGGAGCAGGGTCTTTAACTGGGGTTCCTCTGTGCGCCGAAGGCTGTAATAGGATCTAGCTGTTGAGGTTTTCATCCCTTGCACGCGCGCAAGGCGAGCACCCCCGCGCACCGCGCACCGCGCACCCCGGCACACCTCCGCACACCCCCGCGCGGGGCGGAAGAGCGGTCTGCCGGGTCCAGGACCCACCCAGGCGGTGACGCCACCGAGGCCCAGCTCCTCCTCGCAGGCCTGGAGCTGGCCGCACTGGCCAATCCGGAGCGGGGGAAGGGCCCCGAGGCTCCGCCCAGCACCAGGCTTTCCGGTCCCGGCCCGCGCATCTCAGAACCATGGACCCGGCGGTGGCCGCACAGGTGAGCGAGGCGGTGGCGGCGAAGATGGTCCAGTACCGGCGAGACGCGTCCGGCTGGAAGAGTTGCCGGGAAGGCGTAAGTGGGGAGCCGGGCGGGAAGGGTGGCCGAGACTTTGCTCCCGGGGGTCCGGGTCCCCAGCCCCAGGCCCTGCCTTTCCTCTCGCCCCGGAAGGACGGAGAGGGCAGCCGGATGGGTCAGCGTGGGCCGCCTGTTCGCAGTAGCTCCGGAAGGTGGGCATCGGGCTCCACCAGACAAATGACTCCCCGACGAGCCTGGCGTGGGTGGTGGCGAGGTTGGCGCGCGCTGCAGGCTCCCAGCCCTCGCTCGCTCCGTTCCTTCCACCTGTGCGCCCGCCTCTGTCATCCCAGGGGTGGCAGGAAACAGTTTTCCTTACTTGACACGGTTTTGAACAAATTGCGTGAGGAAACAAAATGCGCGGTGGTCTTCAAGGTGATTTGAACAGGGAAATTCTCTGTCACCCTCTGCGCCGCGTTCATCCCACTGCGCCAGGTGTGGGTCGGAACCTCGGAGAATCACATCTCCTGAGGCTTCTGACCCCTTTTCTGCAGTAGAGACTGAGCCAGGAGTTCCCCCAGAGCCCAGCTAGCTCTAAAGTTCTGTGATTCTGTGCCTTTTGACAGCATGGAGTTTCAGTTTCCTGGAGGCCATCTGTGGAGTTTGCAGGGAGCCTGTAAGTGCACATCCTGTTCGAAGCTTGTGGAGCGGCCACACCCTTCCTGGTGTCTCTGGGTTTGCTTCCTGAAAGGCTCCAATCCACCCTGCACCCTGTGATCCACGCGCCAGGTGTCTTCCAAAAATCACCAACTTCTGTTCGCAACCGAATCATTTCCAGCCAACCATACCCTTGAGAAAGCTTATGGCCCACTTCGAAGCCCCGAGGGGAGACAGGCAGGGCTCTTCGGCTTGCCCTCGGCCTGCCAGTCCTGAAGAGCTCTGAGGGACATGGCCTGGATGCCCTCAGTAGGTCTCAGAATAACAAGTGTGACTGATGCCTGGGGTCCAATTCCTGTCTGTGTTCCAGGTACCGAGGAGAGGGAGTTCTCTGTGGTACCCTAGAGGAGGTGTGGGACTGCATAAAGCCAGCTGCTGGGGGCCTTCGAGAGAAATGGGATGAGAATGTGACCAGTTTTGAAGTTATCGAAAGCATCACCGATGTAAGTTCCCCCAGCATGTGACCCACAGACAGTGTCTGTGCTGCCATTGTGGGAACCTGATCCCAGCCCCTCTGGGAGGGTCTGTGACACCTTTTGGCAGGAAGGGTGCCCTGTATACAGGTGGGAGGCAGTGTGACATACAGAGTATAGATAGCAGTAGCTGCTGAAGAGGGACAGAGGGTACCTAGACATCCCGGACACTGAGCTGACGCTTGGATATGGCTCCTCAGCTTCACTGGACAGAGAGACACTTGCCCAGGAGTCAGCCTCCTCTGCCTTCTGTGGGCTGTGTCAGGCAACACCTTCTGGATTAGTGTCCCATTTGGTAGCGTGGACTCCGTCAAGACTATCCTTGTCCACCAGAACTTTCTTCAGTGATGGGAATGTTTAATGAGTGCTTTGTCCACCATGGTAGCTATGAGTCCTATGTGGCATGGAGCATTAGAAGGTACATAGTTTGAGGAAATTAATTAATTTTGTTTAATTTCAAATAGCCACACGGAGCTCCTGGCTCCCATAGTAGATAGCTTAGGTGTTAATAAGCCTGCCCTGGGATCCTCTACAGCTTTAAAGTCTGGCCTGATTTTGATTACACAGTGCAGGAAAAAAAAAATGGCCCAAACTATAATAAGCAAAGTGCCACTGGGGAAGCACTGCTGACCTGTACAGTTTGAATGGTATCTTGATTCTGACATCTGACAGGCACCTGCTGGGTGTTCACACAGGGGATGTTGTGAAACCTCACAAAGTAGCTCCCCACGGGAGAGACTGTGGGTGCTGTGTGTTTCAAACCCTGACCCAGAATCCACACTTCAGTCCCCTTATCTCAGGCATTTAGGTCGATGTTTCCTAAAATATGGGTGCACATCTCTAGGGTAGAAAAGGGGATTTCAAGTCCTTCACAGTCAAAGCTGAAATTGGATCTCATAGTAAGGACGTCACCCTGGTTCAACTCCCTTGGGTGCTACTGTGTAATATTCACTTATCTTTATAACAAAATGAATAGCCTCCCTCAAGCTCAGAATTAGAATCTAATAGTCCCTTGTATATACATTTTGTAGTTGCCTATGATTTATGGCAAGTGGTAATCTGGGACAATTCCAATACTTAAATAGCTTCCTTTTAAAGCCATGTGATCTAGATTTTTTTTAAAATGAGCACATTTATACTAAATGAATAATAGGATAGGTAAAATTTAAGGTACGAGGCAAATAGTTGTACACAAATAGTTGAAGGTGAGGAAACTTTGGTTAATGTGCTTTAAAACCAAATACAACTGTAACAGCAGGAGGGCCACATATAGAATTTTCTTACTTTGTGTCTTTTTAGCACATTAGTACTTCTTCGTCCTGATACAGTGACTGGTGGGGATGAAAGAATGAAAAGCTTAGGAAATTACAGGCTAATGTAAGCGGCTGTCACAGGGATGATTCGGTAATGAGCGATGACATTTATTGGATCCTTTTGTCAGTGCTACCAACGCAGGGCTCTTTAAGTGAAACCCTGGGGGAGGGAACCGTTTGACAGAGATAGAGGGGGCCAGACGCAGGTTCACTGAGGTAAAGGGGCCAACTAGGAGCCAGCTGGAGGGACCCCCATTCTCCCCACACCCAGCTGCCAAGGTGCCTCCTCCCAGAGGAGGTGAGCGCCTCTCTTTAAGCCTTCACCCACCTCAGTGTTGCATGCTGGCCCCAGGAGGAACGTTTTCCTCATTGCTGCCTTACAAGTGCCTCACTGTCCCAGCTTGTTCAGGGCACAGGATGGCAGGGGACTCGCTTGTACTAAACTCTCATCTGTGCTAAGTTGCCCATGCCATCTAGGCCAGCTTGCCAGGGGGCTGCACGGCAACACTGGCAGGGTCTTCCTGCTGTGCTGGGTACTCCAGTTTGTCCCTGAATGTGGACAAACTGCCTCACAAGACCCTCTTCACTGGCACCCACGTGTCCCACCCCAGTGAGCCCCCTGGAGCATGTGAAGCCTGTCTTCCATGTTTTTGCCTGCATACCTCTGATGGGTTTTCGAGAAACTAGGCATGATCCCCACACATCTAACTGACACCTAATGCTGAGCTGACAGCTACATCTTCGTAAGTTGCAAAGCAGGGCAGTTTTGACAGGTAATAAGTGTCAGTTTTGAACATAGCAATAGCATGATTTTTAGTCAACTCCAAATGACATGTGAACTTGTGTTTAATGTTACCTGTTTTAAAAATGCATAAGTAAATTTTTCCCATTCAGAAGTTGTGTATGACTTCTTAAATTCAAATTTCCAGTCTATGCAGCCTACTAGATTTTAATAGGATGATGTATGTTCATTCTTGGAAATCCTCATCTTGCATCATAGATATGCCTACAGATGGGTATTATTTTTAAAATTCATACATTTCCTTTGACTGTAAGACTTTGTTAAAAATGAGATCAAGATACAGTTTATTAAAATAACATGATTTCAAATTTTGATGAAGAATTATTAAGCACAAGAAAGAAAAATGTTTCACACCTCTGGAGGAGATGAATAGTATAGGGAGCCCTTTCCGGTGCTCATTGCAGTCCGAGAAGTTTATATTTGTAATCCCATGGAAAAGTTATTGGAATTCTAGCAAGTTAATTCCAGTCTACCACTGCCAGTGCAACCCATGATGTAAAGGCACAATTATATATCTAAAATGGTGGGGAGCCAAGGGAGTCCTAAGTCCAGCTAGGGTGATGGTTAACCAGAACAAAGGCCCCAACCCAGTGCCGAAACCAAGTTTTATTAATTTGAGAAGAAGGGAGTGGCTGGAGGATGAGTGCCTCTGAGAATGGCAGGAAGCACTTGAGTGCTGTGAGCTGGGCTAGGTAGGAGGTCTGAAATCACTTCTGCAATATGCAGAGAGAAGGGTATGCGGAAAGAGTAATCTGCATAACCCAACTCAGGGTAGTATCTAATGTGTTGGAGTTGGTGCTTTGGCAGACATTGTGCGTAATGTAATTTTTTATGCCCTAGGAATTCATAGCCTCTTATCTTGAGGCTTGATCCCAGCTGACTGTGTGGAGCGTGGCTCTCTCCCACCTGGCTCACACATGTTTTTTGGGAACTACAGGGCAGGGTAACACTAACCCGTTGCCTTGCTTTAAAGCCTACACATTAGCACCTCAGCTGGACCATTTGCATTGCTTAAAGCCAGTTGAGGGGGTAAGGAAAAATCCTAGCCAGCTCTGTACATGTCAATACATGGAAATAGGCCAGGTTTAGCCAAAATGGAGATAATTGCTCTTCTTTCAAGGAGAGCCCTCCACGTGATCTTCCGCAGACTAGGAAGTCTTTGTCCTAATTCATATGTCTATGGAAAAGAAGACTTCTCACCAGAAGGATATGCCTTCAGTGGACATCAGCTGCAGAAAGGAGGGAAAGCACAGGCCATTGGTGAGCTGGGGTTTGCCAAAAAGCAGAGAAGCAAGCAGTAGCTCTTTATCAGTTAGTGAAACTGCAGAAATGTGGAGAGGCCCTTCCTCACAGATTGGCATTCCCCATTGTGAGTTGGAAATTTCTCCAGTGTTCTGATTCTGACATAGATGAATGATAGACGAATGGAAAGGTGCACAGGACCCAGCGCCCTCCCGTGAGTTTGTTGCATTTGTGCCACACACTGCCTCCTGCAGTGTTTCTTACCAGTGTCCTCTTTCTCTTGGGTTCCAGGTACCATCTCTGGGGAACAGGACATGTGGGGGCAATAGTCCAGGGTAGAGGCTGTAGGGATACTACAAAATCACTTCTGCCATTCCTACTACAGAATACTAGAATGCAAAAAGAACAAAATCGGCCAAACCCCACACCTTGGAGAAGATTTAAGAAAGGGGAAAACACGGAAGTCTAACCCCACGTGTAGTGTATGGTTTAACATCTTGATCAGCACCCCTGGTTGTCGTTGGCACCTTAGGGAGTCTTCCACTCTGGCACAGTGCCAGTGGGCTGATTCTTGATGGGCCTGGGGTTGGGGATTCCTGTGCCCCTTTGTAAGGAGGAGAGGAGGCCTGCCTGCAGGTGCAGCCTTGTCCCGGGGTGCTTGGAGATGAAGTGGGAAACTGATCCCCAGCATACCTGGTGAAAAGTTCTCAAATGTCTCAGGTCAAGTCACAGGGTCACTCTCCTGTCAAGGTGTCCTGTTTCCCACACCCTAGGGAACAAGGCAGGGTGGGGAGGAGAGGTCTGGTCCTCAGACGCATGGGGCCCCTTGCTTTGGCAGACATTGTGCGTGAGCAGGACCTCCACACCCTCAGCCGCCATGAAGCTTATTTCTCCCAGGGACTTTGTGGACTTGGTGCTGGTCAAGAAATATGAGGATGGCACCATCAGCTCCAATGGTGAGTGGTATCCAAGGGTGTCAGCTGGCTGTGAGGGGACATGCTGGGCTCTCCTCCACACCCCTCAGACGCTCAAGGGCCAGCCTCCAGAAACCAGCAAAGAACTCACTTGAGCCTTGGGTTCCTCCCTCAGCATGCATCTGGCCTTGAAGGGGCTGAGGGGCCGTGGGCTTGGGCAGGAGAGCCTCATAGGTTGTCCCATGGATATGCTGGTCACCAGTTGGTACATGGCCCCATGCCATTCCTCTGAGCCTGCCTGGGGAGATGGGGGACACCTCCTTGCCTCTGATAGCTGAGGTTTGGAAGGAGCACGCTTCTCCTCCCAGCCCCAAACCTCCTACCCTGGAATGCTTTTTTTTTCTAATATTCTCATAAACAGAGAAGTTGTATGCAAGAGTGTATGCATGTGTGTGTGTGAGTGCATATGTGTGTGAGCATGCATGTGTGTACATGTTTATGCATGAGGAAGCGTAAGGGGCTGTGGTAGGTAGGAGGAATCCCATACCCTTGCCCTGGGCTCCAGGTGACCTGGTCTGAGAGCACAGGCTCTTCAGTGTGGAGGCTGGACTGACTGAAGCTCTTGCTCAGTGTGCATTGGAATTCCTCTCCAGCTACCCATGTGGAACATGCATTGTGTCCCCCGAAGCCAGGATTCGTGAGAGGATTTAACCATCCATGTGGGTGCTTCTGCGAACCTCTGCCAGGGTAAGAATAACCCCTGGGTACAGGCACCTGTCTGAGACCTAACTGTCTTCACTGCGGACACTGTGAAGATGGGTACTATGAGTGAGGGTGGGATGTCACTTTGATTCGGTAGGTCCTGAGATGTGGCTTTGGGATCTACGTCTGGTCCTGAGCCTCCTCCTCTCTGGGATCATTCCCTCCTCTACTTCCTGTTCCTCTTCTACTTCCTTTGTTCTACCACACCCTTCTGCCATGATTTTCCTGCCGTGGAGCCAGCTGACCGTGGACTGAATCCCCTGAAACTGTAATTCAAATTAAACCTCTCCCCCTTTAAGTGGTGAGTGTCAGGTATTGTGTCAAGCCATGGGAAAGCTGACTAATAAGGTACTTTGACTATAATTCCCAAGAATAAAAATGCCTTAGGCCTCACTGTTACAAAGCTGCCCTTCACACACACACACACATCAGTGACATAATATGCCCAAGTTCTTGGCATGCAGTAGAGTTGTGGGGAAATGTTATACAAGCTAATTATGATGTAGGGTTGATTAGACAATTGTCATGGTCCCATTTACCAGATGATGAAACTGAGGCTTGGGATCATTAAGTGCTCTGACCAGGGTCAGAAGCTAGAAGATTGGCAGTGCAAGGTCTGACCGTGTCTCTCCCATGCTCTCTGGGCATTGGCTACCAGCCTGAGGGGCTATGATGATGATAGCTGTCCCTACCACACATTCTGTACCATGCCTGTCTCTTCCCAGCTCAAGGGCTGAAGGAGGAATCAAAGCCCACACTGAGTTATCCTGGAGCTGAGCAGCCTCCCTGTGTGCTCATGGGCATGGCCAGGTTCTACCAGAAGCTTTCCATGTGATAAATAGGCTGAAGGCACTGAGTTATCTGTGAACCACCCAAGTTGACAGTGAAAGAACTTCACCTGCTGGTACAGCTGTGGGTGTGTCTCAGTGTTTGCTGCAGACACCCAGAGCGAGGGCTTTTGTTCTCCCCATAGTGCCACCCAGTGGCTTGGGTGGAGAGGATTTTACTCAAAACTCAGACCTGCACCTGCACCCATCTGTGTGTAGCACTCTTTGCTAAGTTAGCTTTGCAAACATCTTATGACGGCCTTTGAGTTTGAAACTAGCCTAGCCATGCTTGAACACATACCAGTTTTAGTTCCCTTGGGACACAGATGCCCAAGGTCTCTTGCCTTGGGCTAAAGACACTAACCACTACCTCCTGTCTGTGCCCTCCCTGGCTGACAGTCAGGTGCTGAAAGCCACCTTGGTTGGGTGCCAGGTTTGCTGGAGAGGGGTTTTCAGAACAAGATGCAGAGTCCTTACTCCTGGGGGCAGAACCCCACGGCTGTCTTCCTTTGAGGGATGTACTGGTTACCTTTTGGTTACTGGGACCAAATATCTGACATACACAGCTTATAGGAAGAACGATTTCTTTCAGCTAACAGTTTCAGAGGTTCCAGTCCATGGTCAGTTGGCTCCAAGGCAGAAATATGGCAGAAGGGAGGCTGATCACCTCATGGTGGTGAGGAAACAGAGAGTCAGGAGAGCTAGAGGGGACGCTGGACCCAGCACCCTGCTTTCTCCAGCCCCACCTCCTAACAGCCCATTCAGCCAGGAACTCACTGGATTAATCCACTCACAAGGCCAGCACCCTCACAGTCCAGTCAGCCCTCTGCGCCCTGTCTCTAACGGGGATCAAGCCCTTGAAACGAGACTCTGGGGGACACTTCATATTTAAACTATAGCAGAGAGAGCACAGTATGGATTCCCTCACCACCACGTAGCAAAAGTGATGGCACAGTGTCAGCACTTTTATAAAAATCAACTAATTTTCGGTCTTACAACCACCTTAAGGCACTGTTATTATCCTCATTTGTAGGTAAATATACTAGGGCACAGAAAGGTGGTAAGGTACTTGTAACTTACTCAAGATCACAAACCCAGCAAATGATACAACCTTCTGACTTCAGAATCTGTGCTTTTAACTCAAGATACTGACCTGTTTGTCTATTTTTACCAAAACAGATAAAATATCTTCCCTCTTCAGGGCTTACTTTCATTGCACAGGAAAGGAAAAACAGCACCCAAGTGTGAGTAGTTAGATGTCCACACTCATAGTTCTCAAATGTTTAGCTTTGGAGAAAACTAAAGCCAGTTAAGGGTGAGTGGGAGTGGGTCTCCCGGGGGTCAGCAGAGACTCTGGGATGGGCATCCGAACAACCTTCAGCACAGGGAGTTTGGCCTGGCAGGTGGGGGTTGAGGCAGGGGCAGGGACAAGAGCAAAGTCCCAGGGGTGGAGTAGGTACAGGCAGCACTTCCTCCCGGGCCATGCCCTAAATGCCTGCTTCTGCTCCACCCCTGGGACTTTGTCCCTGCCCCTACCTCAACCCCCACCTGCCAGGCTGGGCAGGCGGAGGGAGTCTGTGGACAAAGCTGCATGGTGATGTTGTGGCCCTGGCCTGCGTGATGTTGGGAGCCCTTGAGCACCTGAGAGCTGGCTTCGTGCCGTGCAGTTGGGGCTTCGAACAGCTGCCCTCAAGTACAAGGCGAGGTGGTCTTCACAGCCCCTGCCACAGTGAGGCTTGTGGCGGTGAAAACCTGCCCAGTTCCTCTGCAGTCGGATCCCTTGACAAATCTGATTTTGGCAGGCACTTCAGTCCCCTGTTGCTCCAGGTGCCCACATTTCTGTTTGCAGCCGGAGAGCCAAGTGTTGCTGTCAGTCACTCCCCACATGGGCGGGACACTGGCCTTCGGCTTCCAGCCCAGGGTCCCCTACCACAGACCTGCCCACCCCCAGGGATTCTGCCACCCCCAGCCCAAGTCCACCCTGCTCAGTCAGTCACGCGCAAGTCTCAGATTCCGACTGCATTGCACCCTTCAGTGTAACTGGGGCTCCCAAAGGGCTGTTGTCCTGCTGGGGCGAACCTGCTATTATTGAGCATGTTTGAATTTAAACCAGACAAGTTAGGAGATACTTGTTTTAAAAATTGTAATGCATGCATTCATGTCAGCATAAATAACATTTTTATGAAAAGTAACTATTTTTCAAAACAAAAATCTGTATTAAGAGTGACACAGTTTCCCTTTTTTGCAAGCCCTTTCTGCTCCAGGGCTCGGGTAGAACTCACACCTGCTTCTACAGTCTGTCCTATGGCTCCTTAGGAGAGGAGAAAGGGTACTTCACACCTTCATGGTGCTGTGCCAGTAGCTGTAACCTCGCAGAGACCCAGGAAGGGCCTGGGTCCCCCAGTGAAAGTGCCACCCTGTTGGGCAGGGGCAGGTGACATCCAAGTCTCCCTCCAGGGCCTATCGTGGAGGGCTGAGCTCTCAGAAGCATTTGCGGTGCATGTCAGAAGCTGAGAACTAGCTCATTGGGCTGGAAGGAGGGACTCCTCCCTACCTTCGAGCTCGGGAGCTATGGGAGGAGCTCACACAGGGACAGGTTACACCCTGATTAAGCAGGAGTCCTGGAGGCAGCAGGAGGTGGGGTGTCCACTGTGGTGGTGGTTTCTGCAGGGCGAGGTTCTGCTTGCCTGAAAGCGTAGGCTCCTGACGCAGCTCCCCTCTTGTCTTTGCAGGGAGCCCGGCAAGACCAGGGTGATCACGTTCTTCCAGACCGACCTCAGCGGCTACCTGCCACAGAGCGTGGTGGACTCCTTCTTCCCACGCAGCATGGCCTGCTTTTATGCCAACCTTCAGAAAGCAGTGAAGCAGTTCCACAGTTGAGCTTTCACTTGATTTTTTTTTTTTTTTTTTTGGTTTTTTTCCGGTACCAGGAATCGAACTCACGACGTCGAGCTTGCCAGGCAGGCGCTGTGCTGCTGAGCTAAATCCCCAGCCCCTGAGCTTTCACTTGAGAGGTGGTGGAGATCGGCCCTGATGCACGAGGAGTCCCAGTGGCTGGGAGAGCCTGAAGGCTGCCTTCTGCTCTTTGGGACACTTGGTGGGCAGCGATTCTCTGAGTGCCAGCTGTGGGCAGCAGGTGCTCCTCCTTCCTCAGGGCTGGCATGGGGAAGCTGTTCACTGCTCCAGCTCTACCTGGGATCCAAGCATACTGCTGCGGGGGATCCAAGCCCATACTGCTACCTGGGATCCAAGCCCAGGCTGCGGGGGAGTTTGCACGGAGCCCTCCCTTTACCCTTCCAGGTGGAAACACTTCCCTGGGGTGAGCACAGCCCCGTCCCCACCTGGGAGGTCTGCAGAGACTCTTTGCCGAGGTGGAAAGCATTCCCTTTCTGTTCCCGTCAGCTCAGCATCCCATTCGCACTGGTGAGATCTTCACCTCCTGCCTCTCACCCGGGAATCTCCATGGGACACCGTGTTTGATTAAAACTCATTCATTCCCAGTCAGTGAATAGCCCTGCTGTGTGGCCTGCCCTGTCCAGTGTTGGGTCCCCTGAGGCAGACTGGTTCATGCCTCCTCTGTGAGGCCCTGACCCCAAAGGCAGTGGTCTTGCCAAGATGGGGCCATGTGCAGGCCTGTCTAGCTGGCTGGAAGGTCAGCCTCTCAAGGACACGAATCACTGGGTCCATAGGACACTGTGCCCACAGTGCCTGGCACCGACCATGCTTCCTGGCACAGGGTTAACTGCTTTGGACCCTAGAGAAGGAGGCAGAAAGCAAGTCTGGTTTGACCTCTTACAAGACAGTGGGTTGGTGCTGGTACCAACCCCAGGGTAGTGTGTTATATGAGCTCTGGCACAGTGGAGCTGGTGTGGGAATCAGAGACCAAGGGCTCCGAGGAGAGTGCACTGTCTCCCTGGGTGGGGATGGCCGCGTTTCCCAGCTGGGGAGGGGGTAACCGGAAACAGCACGTGCCGTGCCTGTGCCAGCTCCGAAGTTGGCCAAGGAAAGCATGCTTAGTGCAGCATGGAGCTCCAGGGGATGAGCTTTTATTTTAGGAACTTGGTGACTTCTGACCAGAGGACTTCTTGGCCTACAGACCAGGCACCTGGTGTCGTGTCCTTGGCAGCCCTAAGGCAGCTGGGTGTGGGAGGGAAGGGACCCTCTAAAGCGCACCAGGGACGGGGAACACTGGGAGGGAACGTCATCATCTGCAGGGGTAGTGAAACCCAGGGCAGGGGACACATGCTTTCTGTTCTGTAGCCCCACTGCCCAGCCCTGGCCATGTGTTTGTATTGAATCACACCTTTCACTGTTGGGTCAAGTTCACCTTCAGTGTTTCCCTTAAGTCGAAGCTGGTAGAAATGGTTTCACGTTTCTAATCTTCTTGCTCATCTGCTGCTTAGCATGACTCAGAATGGCATGAATGGGGCAGCAGGCAGGAAACAGCTCTCTAAGCCATTGTTCTCAGAATGAATAAAACAGTGAGCTGATGCGAGCTGTGCTGACATCACCCAAGGAGTGGACAAGAGGACTAGGATCCTGCTGGGCTTTCTGATGGTCCACTACCAGTAAGTGGCTTCTTGTCCTCTTACGGGCCCTGGAGAAGCCCCCCAGGCTACACTGTCATGGTGTCATTAATAATGGCCTGGGAAGTACTTCAGTGTTTTGTCTGTGGTCCTTGTCCTTACTTCATAGGAGCAGGGACTGGAGAGGGACTGGGACTGGCCCAGGATGCTGGCTGTTTAAGTCACACTGACTTCTCCAAAGCTCGGCAGTAAGGTATTTGAGGTAACCAAAGCTAATAGCCCCCTTGGCCAGGCATTCAGAGGTATTTTCCCTGCAATGCTCTGGCCTTAAAACCACCTTTGCCTGTTTGTCTCCACCAGTGACAGGAGGAAGGACTCAGCCTCTGCCTGATTACCACCCAGCTGCACAAACCAGGCACTGTCCCTGCGTCTGTGCGCCGACATCAGAGCCCCATGCTATAGGAGCTGCATGATCGCCAAGCTACCCATTTAACGTACTGCACAGCCCGTGGCATGTGGTGGCTGCGGGCGGCAGTTCTTACTTCATGTTCATGCTGGTCCGTCCTGGCACACCTGTACACACTGAGAGTCTCACTTGCATGCCTCTCAGCTCGCTGGGTGTATCACCTGGCACCACCCTAACTGATCACTTCTCCAATTCAAATAAAAATAGATTTCTCAGTGTTTTACGTGACAGGCTATGCTTTCCAAAAACAACCCGGCAACATTTCCTCTCCCCTTAAGCTTGGCAGGTCTGGACTGGCTCTAATCCAGAGTCCAGTGGAAGGCTGAGTTCCCAGTCACCAGCCCAACCACTCCCGTTTGAGAGGAGAGGGTCTTACACATGGCTCCTGCCCCAACCTTGCAGTGGTCCACTAGGGGTCAAGCGGCACAGGAACGAGCTGTCTCTCTAAGTCCTGCCACACGTCAGACTCACAAAAAAGCAAAGTTGCTGCTCCAGGTGGATGGTGAAGGAAGTGGCAGAGCAGGACATGGACTTGTCAGATTGCAATATATGCATTTTATTGTGGCACCATAACATCATCAAGCCCTCTCTATATACAGTGTACAGTTTGTATCAGCCACCCCAGCATGACTCTGTCCTAGCTTTGGGACAGTCATCTTGTGGGTGGTGTCCCAAAAGGTCCAGACCTGAACAGCTGCCAGCAGGACACACCCCTGGGGGGTGGGTAGCAGAGACCCTGAGAATCAGCATTATGGAACATGTGTGCCCTCAGCTTAGCTTGGCTTCTGTGTCAGCGCCCTTCCTGCCTTAGGATCCTCAGCAGCTGAGGTCTCCTTGGCCTGGAGACTCTTTCTTTTGAGGACAATTGTGACAGGCCCATCTGGAAGAGCCTTGATGATGTTCCAGGCTTCAAATCGCGTGAGGCCCTGCACGGCAGTACCAGCCAGTTGCAGGATCTCATCTCCAGGCTGGACCAGCTCGATCTGTTCTGAGGCTGCCCCTGAAATTAGGAAGAAGATGATTGTGGGTTCCTCAGGTATCAGGAGTAAGAAAAGTTATCCTCTACTTTGGTCTCTGAGGAGCCAGGACAGTAGGAAGAGGGTAGCACCCCATCCCTTGGGAGCTTGGTGGTTCTAGAGTGAGCCCCTCATACTCAAGGGAAAGTGGGGACACCAGGCTGCTCTTGAAAGGGAAAAACTGTACAAGAGAAATTGTTACCCCTGTAACCACAAGAGCATAACCAAACATGCAGAATGCCTGACTGTACCGTTGTACCAAGCTTCATAAACTGATGATCATTAATTTACCTTGTAACTAATGATCTCATCCTGCTAGCTAATCCGAAGAACTGCCAGGCTGTTCCATCTCACCTTTGTACCTCCTTTGTACCTCCTGTTTGTGCATCATATAAAAGCCCTAGACCACCAGAGATCAGGACCTGATATTTTGGGAGTGATCCCAATCAGTGCCCCCTGACATAAATAAATCTGCTTCCAAATCATGGGTGTCATTTCAGTGTTTCTGCTTGCCACTGCATCTGGTGCATCAGCCAGGAAGACTGGCCATGCTGAGCTCTTTTGTCACCAGTCATGGCCCTCACAGATGGAGCAAGGACCTCTCCAGGTCCTGACAGGAAGGCATGACCTTGAGAATTCTCAAGTCCCCTCAAGAGGTCTGAAGGTGGATTCCTGGCTCCCTGCTCGAGTGGCTCACATTTGATGGCAAAGGGAGGAGGACACAATCTGTCTGTTTGTCTGCCTGCCTGCTTCATTCTGATAAGACACCTGGAGGCATCCCAGTTAGTCAATCTGTTAGTTCTGCTCAGTTCGTACAGAAGAGCTTGATCAACTCTTGTTAGTTAAGGCCACCCACCCTCACAGGAAGCGGGTTGGAATGTTTAACCTCTGAGTGCCTGCTGAATGAATGTGTGAGTGACTGGAACAGACAGCGTAAGCAATAGGCTGCTTCATTTGTGCACCAAGACTGGGAAGTACTGCTCACAGTGGCTGATTGGACCCTCACCTGCAGCTCTGTGGTGACTAACATATGGCATAACAGGTTTCGCACCCTCCTTAGCTAAGTCATGCATAAGTCCCCTTGAGGGGCATGGCCAGGTGGCCATCTGAATGGTCTCTCTCTGAGGGGCACCCACCCTTGCTCTGTTGCACCATCGTTAAAGGGTACACAACATGCATTGTAGGGAGATGGAGTGGGAACTAATTAATTAAAACCTACAATCCATGACTGCAGGAAAAGGGGCTTTTATGGAGTTAAAAATACAACCAAACTGTTCCCTGCATCTCAAAGGAAAAAAGAAGGAAAAAGAGGCTTATTCTTCCAGAGAATTCCACCTTGCCACCCTCATTGGCTGCCACAATTGCTGCCAGCACCTATAGCTTCACTGTCCATTTCTGACTCATCTGCTTCCAGCCGATTGAGCCAGTTCCAGCTGGCCATTGCCTGCATTTGGCCACAGAGGCCCTCTCTCCAGAGCCTTTTGCTTACGTGCCTGTCCTGGTCAGATGGCATTATTTAATGCACACCTGAGTTGACTGTCAACAATTCATTCTGAGTTCCACATTTTGACTGAGGAAAAATTGGACTGTCAGCTCTGATAAATGAGTCGTGTCCTATTGGGCCTGACTAGATAGGACAGACCAAGTTCTATCAAACTGAGCCCCTGAGAGCCTGCAGTCATTGCAAAAGTCAGGGGTAAACCTGTGACTTTCCTGGTAGACGATGGAACAGAACTCTCGGCCTTCAAAAGTTCCCTCTGTCAAAAAGTAACCATCATTGGGGCAACTGGGACTCTTGCCTCTTGCTCCTTCTGCCAGGCACAAACTTACAGCCCGGGAGGGCATCTCCTTTGCACCAAGCCAGCCAACCTCCCTCTTATTTAACCCTGCACATTCAACTTTGTCTGTTCCCCAAGAAAAAGATGATGTCTGCATCAGCCTGAGATAGATAACTGCCATCCTAAAGTTCTGAAAACTCTCCTCCCAGAGTTATAGACTAAAGACTCACCTCTGGGCCTGGACATCAACCATGCTGCCTCACTGAACCCCCACTGCTATCAGATGTCGCAGGAGGTACAAACAGGTATCCAGCCACACTGCAGCCTGATAGACTGTTAATCACCTTAAGCAAGATCTCTGTGCTGTCCACAATGCAAAAAAGATGCCTTCCTCTGCTTGGGATTTGCTGCCATAAACCCCTTCAACTGGGAAAATCCTGAGATAAAGGCCAGCTCACTTGGACTCAATTTCCATAAGGGGGTTAAAAACTCTCCCACCTTGGCCCTGCACCTGTGTCCCACATGACAAGAAAGCCATCCTAGTCATCAAAACAAACCCACAAGGCATCTGAGAAGTTCTTAGACTCAGCCCAAGCCAGAAAAGCTTTATCCCATCCTGCTTGAAGATCCTGATCAGTGCCCATCAATGTAAATAAATCTGCCTCCAAATCCTGGGTGTCGTTTCAGTATTTCTGCTTGCCACTGCACACTTTCTGAG